GGGCAGCATGTTTTAGGACATAATCTCTAATCTTTCTGGGAGATTATTTTCAGGTGTAGGTAGTTCATTCAAAAATCACAAAAACTCACTGAGTCGTAGGAAGACACAAGGCATCAATGGGCATCACCATCAGGGCATGAACACAGAACTCCCAGCATGGATTCAGAATGCACAGAGATTGCGGTGAGGTTCATGGCTGGTGAGGCGTTGACTTCTCTGGAGTCAGATTTACAATTGTAAGAACCAAAAAGAGCATCTTATTTCAGTATTCATTTAACAGCATCACCTGGTTATGCTTCATATCCATCAACATTCCTCTTTAAATTACACTTACATCAACACAAACACAGGAACATATTTGTCCAACAAAGAATGTTTCTTTTATACAAATGGATAGGGCACCCATCTCGTGTCTAAGCAATTCATATTTAAAAATTAAAGTATAGAGATGAGTGCAACACAAAGTAAAAATTGTATTATTTATATTTGTTATTTTTCTTTATTAAATTCTGCTGCTTTAATGAAAGGTTGTCTATCAATTTGATAAGAAAAAATATATATTTTAGACCTAAAATTTAGTTATCAAACTTGAATTTTTTTACTAACTCCCAACGTATCTTTAAAAAACAGAAACTTAAAACCATTTATAGCCTTACCTTTACTTATAGATGAAGTCCATTGTTGTATCACTCCTTCACCTTAGCATTGTGGACGCTAATGTTTAGTCTCCGTTTTTCATCTAATGCCAAATCGATCCTTAAATTTCATAACGTTTTTAAAGAAATCTGGCTTTGTATGTGCGTGGCCGATCTTTCATGTCTGCTGAGGCTTCTTAAAATGTTTCAGGTCACAGTATCCTGAGTTAGTCCAGACGTTATCACATGATGAGAATAAAAAGCAAGGAAAGCAATAAAGGCGGTTTCTTACAGGACAGCCACACAGACAGTCTTTTTGTTTGTACCAGTATAGTACATTTGAAAAAAAATTACTCTTCTGTGAGAAAAGTTTCCATCTTAAAATAAAATCCATAGTGAGTCGCTTCAGTAGGTTCGGCACTTCCCTGTATTTGATTGCGAAATATTCAAATTCCGCAATTTATACTTAATAAAATGTCAAAAATATATAGAGTCATACTGAAAATGCATCTTTAACACAGATCAGTGGAAAATATGAATATTTATTTTATGTACTTTTTTTTTTTATCATGATGGCAGGTGAGGCACTGCCCGCACAAACCTCACATCAAAAATGAAACAAAAAGAACAGTGCACACACTCGAACAAACTTAAACAATGTTCCCCACAAAGACTGTGGTAAGGGAGAGAGGTATATATACCCAGGGCACCAGGTGACACGAGTGAGACCAATGACAGAGACACAGGTGAGTGTGATCACACTGATTACTCTACTGCAGCCCTAACATTTAGAGCAGTGGATCTTAGAGCGTACCCATGTCTCCCACAGAGGGCGCCAGAGAACAAATGTCCTACATAAATTAAAAAAATAAATAAAAACATATGTACTGTATAAAAACTACAACATAAACTAAAAAAAAACCCTCTCTAGCAGGATATGTATTCTGGCGCTTTCTACTAAAGCTCAGCTAGAATAGAAAAGCTAATTCGCAAACATAAAACAGTTTTTACTTACATGTACTGTACATTGACACCAATGTAATCTAGCTGTCTATATTCAGTGGAAACTAAAAGTCACTGTCTTCCTCATAATCTTTCACTTGTATCTTGTCATCTTCTTCCTCCCTTTTATCCTGCTGCTTGTCTTTGCCCTCTTCGTCCTTATCTTTATCTTCCATTGTCTCTTCTTTTTTAGTCCCATCTTTTAGGTGAAACTCCTGATATATTCCTGCTAAGGCTTTTGCTGCTTCAAGAGACACTTTCAGATTTCCAATTACCTCCTTGTCCTTATCCACACTGATGACTGCAAACAAAAGATCCTGATGTTGAATGTTTGAAATAGTCTTATATATATATACTGTATATATATATGTATATATATATATATATATATATATATTCTCACATATACATATATGTGTGTATATATATATATATATATATTTGAAATATTAAAATAATCTTGTCTTTTACACATTCTACCAACACTTACTATCGATTTGTTGCTCAATGACATCATTTCTTGTAAGCAGCAGCTCATGTAGTTCAAGAAAAGCCTGTCCAACATCAACGCACTCGTCAGCGTCATCCATGGGCTCACTGACGACTGTGAATACTAACCTATGACATACAAAGCACATGCACAGATCAGTCACGGAATGCACAGTGATGATGTCAGTCAAGCTCATGTGTCAAATCTACCACAGTCAAGTTACCAATACTGACATTACCTGCCACGGTTGGGGTCAGTGCCCTCCAGCATGCTGTAAAGATACCGTCTCAGTGGACCTGACTGTGAACCATCCACGTAAATGACTGGGTGAAAACAAAATCACATTTTGGACTTTCATTTAGATGTTTTCTTTAACCTTTGTCAAAAGTTTACATTTCAAGTTATTTTTTTTTTTCAACTTTTATCCTGTGTTTTACAGGATTTAGTTTACTTAGCCAGAAAGTACAGAAATGCAGAGAACTCAGAAGTCATTAGTTTGTGTGGGATGTGGGAACTAATCTTTCATATGACTCCCGAGTCATATGAAAGATTCATTCATATTGAACTCACGAAGCACTCATGAATCAATCACGAATCACTCCCTGCGAATTAATCACTCTGCGAATTAATCACTCACTCACTCGTTACTCCTTCGAGTAACGAGTGAGTGATTCATTCTCAGCGTCTGTCCTCAGATACTCGTTCTTTTGTCACGTGACATCCAACATAAATTATTTATTCATGAAATTATAATTAGTGGTTTTCAGCTCTGGTAGATGTATATGGTATTATTGTGTAAAGTGTGTTTGTAAATAAATATTTTTGAAAATTATATCAACAAATTTAGTTTAGTGTCAGAGAACCGCAGCCTTCTTTACTACGCCCACATTAGGGCTACAGCGCCACCTGCTGTAAAATGAATGAAATGATTCGTTCAAGATTCTATCACAATTCGTTCATTTTACTGTCAAACATCCGAATCAGTAAAAAGAGTCGGTCTTCCCAACACTACTTCAGAGTAAAAAAAAAATAATTGTAAGGCTCTCACAGAAATACTGTTTAAAATATGTAACTTTTTTGGCTCTGTGGCTGCTCAGGAGGTTCCTGACCACTGTTCTACAGTGTTCCTTCGTAACACAACATATACACACTAGGGCAAATTTGGGAATAAATGTTTGTGTTTTGAGGTATTTTTGACATGTCTGCCTAGCCTGGATCTGCCAGTATGTATCTGCACATATGTACCACGTGTGAAGTTGTAGTGGATCTCCTCCCCTCGTCTGGGTTTGCGGAGGGACATGGGGGTTTCCGTGGTCTCCATCGGGACACCCAGCAGCCTGTATTCCACGTACACCTGCTGCACCGACTTATCCCGGGTCACAGGAGAAGATGGTTCAAATGAAAGAGAGAGAATCTCCACTCTCAGTTTGTCTCTCTGAAAAGCAGCCAAGCAAATCATGTGATCCAAGTTAGTGTAGATAAGATACCAACATCTCACCGGCCTTCTTAAAACAAATCTGTATTTTCCTATTTATTGTTGAACATTTGTTCAATTCCACACCTTTCAGAAGTTAAAATGTACTCACAATGTATTTGATTTATGTTCTCAAGCTTAATGTGGGACGTACCTTTGCCATTTTACATCTAGGTGGAATGATGATGATGTCACTTTCAGAGGAACTTGACTGGTCTGTTGCTTCACTGTCTTCTTCATTAGCTGTCAAATATATAATTAAAAAATCCCATTTTAGTCTGATTTCATTTCATTTTGGATATGACTGACTGAAAGGATATTCATGAATCTGATCAAAACAGTGACAAGTTACAAGTGTGTTTTCAGTCCTTCAATGTTTGACTGTAAGTTATTCATATTAATACTTACCAGGATAGTTTATTTTTGTTTCCTCCTCATTATCCACTGATACCTGATCCACAGAGAGACGCTCCTGAAACATAGAGATTTCAACTCATAAATGGTTCTTATTCTTCATCTTCTACTCTAAAATCATGACGGTGTTAACTGGCACTCAGCTGAGACACCTTACCTGAGACCTAGCAATGCTGACTGAACGTCCTCTGGACAGAATGGCTGCTGACTTCTTGTACGAGGCCGATTCAAAAGAACTTCAGTAAGACACAGGATTGTATTATATTTTAAAATTAGATGATAAAAGTCTGAGCAATCACAAAAAATGTATATAGTAAGCAAGGTGACAAAATCTTACTAAAAAAATGTACTTACCTTTTAGCACACAGATTTGAACCCGTAGTCCATGGCTCAGCATGCTGAAGGTCAGTCCTTTTGGTGGATTGTTTTTTGTCTGCTGACCTAACTGATGTGGTTTCTTCTGCTCTGAAGTTCTTAAGGCTTTTCTGTCTGACAGTTGGAGGCTGTCAGGCAGAAAGAAAAGAAGAAAAAAAACACACAAAAATGATTTAATGCCCAGAAATTCTTTTTTTAATCTCTTTCAATCATATCCATCTATTATAGGTTTTAGTAGAAATAAACACGTGTCAGTGCCTCATCATCCTTAGCATGGTTTTTAAGCTGTTGTCAAAAGCTAGCTTCAGTTAGAGAATGAAGAAATAAAAAGACATTTTGTTGTTACCTTACTTTCGAAAATATTTTCATTGTGCCTTTCTGCCCATTTGTAGCAACAAACATCATTACTCCAGTATCAACGTTGTTTCGTTTTACAAAGCCTTTTACCTAAGCTAACATATAGTGCCATCTTTGATGGACCCAAGTTGAAAAAATGTCTCGAGTCGTGGGCCTTTACCGTGGTAACAAATGTTAAACTATAGCATGCACATGCAAATCTGTAACTTATAGATAAGATTAGATGGAACTTTCTACAAGATAGCACACATTCATTTTAGTCATTTTAAGACCTGACATTTGACTATAACGTGTTTAAATGACTGAAGGAGTAGGATTACCTTTATCCTAGGTTTAGCTACAGGCACGTCGGCCTTTTCTCTTTGTCTCTCTTCCCTCTCGGCATTTTCCTCGGCTCTGTTCGGTCTCTTCCAGTTGCCCAGCACATTGCTGACTGGTGGTTGAAAGGGGTACTTCCACTTTATCATAACCCTGACTATGCCCCGAGGTCCACCAGCTGGGTCCCTTAGCACATAGTCACCTGACAGGAAGAAGAACATTGTTGTTTCAGTCTCATTCCTCATTGTTTTCACAGTAACAAGTCAGACTTGTTCATTCTTCTTCGCCCTCACCCCTGATCTCTCTGCCAGTAGCAAGGTCCTGCAGTGGGACGGGGGTCTTTGCCAGATAAGCTGGTGGCATTTGGTCATCACTGTCATCGAACACGTACACATAGAGACTATTCGACCTGGACAGAGACGCAGGAGAATTAAATCATTATTTTAACCATTAATACTTGAATTTGAGTTCTGATTCTTTACATTTAGGTCAACTTAAACTATACATTTACCTTAAATAGTTCAACACATCAGCTGTTACTGCCAGTGGGTAGCTGCTGGTATCATTGAAGACCGGGTCAGCAGTACACCGGGCTGTTGGTGACACGTGAGGAGGCAGGTCATAGAATCTGTAAGTCAGGTAGGCATCAGGAACTGAACCTGGCCAGCGAGCAGTAAGGCCCACACAGCGCTCCAGCATAAACACCAACTCATTAGGGATCCCAACACCGTAGTCAAGCACTTTCTGTTATGAGTAAAATAGAATGTCATCAGCAGAAGTACCCCTTACACGTTCTCCACTCCACCACAAAATCCATTTATTGGCAGTTTAATAACTGCTTTTGCTGCCTTGCCTCACTGCCACCATCCTGCCAGCCATGAGGGATGTGAAAAGGACTTCTTGGTACTGTTGTCCTGCTGTCAGCTAGATTCTCAAATTCAGTGAGCATGGGCTCTGCAGGTGGATACAGACGCACCCAGAAATCCACAACACCAACACTTTCAGCTTCAGGGCCTTGGAAGTAAAGACAGAGAAGGAAAGGAACATTTCTATAAATGTCTGCCTCACTGCTCTGTGTGTTTACAACATCTAACCTGTGATATGAACACGTCCGTTGATGTTCTCCCCTCTCCTCTCTAGTGCACCCAGGACAGACATCTGTCCACTTCCGTGTGTCACGAACTTGACTCCTCCTAATGCCTGGTGGAGCTCCACACTAACCCTTGAACCCTGACCTCCCAGCCTCCCCAGATCTCGAGGTGTCAGAGCGTAGCGGGACGTGAAAGCGTAATTAGGCTGGCTGCCCGCCACCAGAGGGGTCGAGTGCATCTCGAAGTCTAAGAAGCTGTAGGTGCAGAAGGTCACGAAGTCCTCAGCAGTGTCAACACCTGCACCCAACCTGCTCAACATGCGAAGAGCTAGTGGAGTGAAGGTTGCGGCCTAATGGTACGGAGAAAGTAGATATTAGCATCTAGAGACGTTAACAGGAATAGTTAAGGTTTTAATATTTCACCTTGAGGTGGATCTCCAGCAGTGACTCCCCAGCTCTGAGCTGAGAAAAACACAGATCATCTTCAGTTGGCTGCACCACCTCTTGGTCTCCAGCTGGCCAGGTGTATTGAGTTGGTACAGTCCGTCTGTAGTTCCTGGGGCTATATGCAAGCTCTTTGAGCTGGGCTTTTGAACGAAAACACAAAACATTTCTTAATTTACAGGAGATATTTTACACTACTTTTAAACATTACACAACATATGTTGGGTTGTAGGTGATTGTGGTCTGGCAGTTGCATACAGGTAATGCAAATGATGGTTCTTTGCAATGGTAACAGTGGTAGTATGAGTGGAGCTAGCCAGAGTGGAGGTAAGATGATATACTCACAGTTCCAGATTTTGGCAGATGCTAAAATAGCTATTTAATCATAACTGGCACCTAGGTAGCGGTTAGCTCGCCTGCCTTGCACGCATTACTGACCATTACATTACAATACATTTAGCAGACACTTTTATCCAAAGGGACTTACAATTTGAGTCAGTCAATCAACAATCAAGCTACCATAAACATACAATACAAAAATACATAAATACAATTAATACATATAGTAATAAATAATAATAATATATGGTAAAATACAGTTATAGTCATAGCAGGTCAAGCAGAGAGTCATGGATTAAATTCCCAGAGGAACCAGATATCTCTAATAGTGCCTCTTGTGGCAACTTGTGTCAGTTGCAAAGACTCAAATTGTAAATTGTGGGATATGAATTATTAATTATTATAAATTATTATTGTTGTTGTTGTTGTTGTTATTATTATTATTATGCGGGGGAATACTCGTACCACTACCCTGACTATTTTAGTTTCCATTTTAGCACTTTTCATTGATGCCATTATTACCAAAGAGAAGTCAAAATATTACAAATACAAGAATATACTTTTTACCTTGCAGTGTGTTGATCTGTAGAGCTCTTTTGGATAGAAGTCTGTCTTTCCCAGCTATTCTCTGTTTGCTCTCTTCCCTTTCTTTCTCCATCTTTTCTGAAACTGTTCTCAGCTCTTCCTTTGTGGTTAAAATTCAGACCAAACAAAAATGATAAAATAATTGAATTTTTAACAGGCCTGCTTACTCAGCTGAGTAATTTTTTTCTTCTTTGTGTTTTCATAGTAATTTACCTTCAGGTCTTTACAGATCTGATGCTCCACCAGTAAAAGTTTTCTTGTTTTCTGTAACTCCAACCCACTCTCAGCGAGTGCTGCCTGGATGTTTACAAAGTCACGGGGCAAAACCTCGACACGTTCGTCACTGGAGAGGAACCCCAGACTTTCCCTGCTCTCTTGTTGCTTCCTAAAGAGCTGTTTTGAAGCACATCATTAAAACGGAATTATTAAGCAGTATATGTAAACATGGCATTGTAGTTGAGCAAAAATAAAAAAAAATCAAACCTTGATCTGTAAAAGTGTCTCACTCAGTTCCTCAACGCTCATGTCAAACTCCTGAAAGAAATGTAAACTGTATTATGGGGTTTGTACAGACATACAGGTAAAAAAAAAAAAAAAGCTGTTCAAACACTTTGTATAATAAAAATAATAAAATATACAGTTGATTATTCCTGACCTGTGTAACTAAGTCTATGCGGCCTTGCAGTGCAACAACCTGCTCTTTGTGTTGGAGAACCTCCTGTTGTAGACGCTCATGTTTGTTTTTCATTATCACGGTGAACTCTAAATCCAGAAATGTGCTTTTATTTATTGTCCTCCATATTTGGTAATGCTTTTTTTTTCAAGTGAGTCAGAATTGTTGCAATAGTTGAGACTCTGACCTCTTTCTTTGTCCCTTTGCTCTTCCATCATCTCCTTCTCTTGCCTCATCTTCTCTTTTTCCAGCTCCAGTCTGCTTCTCTCCTCCCTCTCTGCCTCCAGTATCCTCTTCAGCCTCTGGATTTCTGGCACCACATCCTCACACTTGACTATACTGGGCTTTTTCTCCACGTGACCGTCGAAGGTAACATGAGCTGACAATGTACTAGTGATAAAAGAGACATGCAACATACAAGCAGAGTACATATTATCACTAAGTATATGTTGTAAATATTGAACCAGACTATTATCTGCACTGGTAACTGAACGTGTAGTGCAAGAGTTGCAGAGCTGTTGTGCCGTACTTGTTTTTTAAAGCAGGTTTAACAGAGCAAGAAATGTCTTTTGTCTGTTGGCCTGACAACCTGATAGTTGAGTGTGTAAATTGAATATTGGTACAATACTCTGCATAGAGAATCGCTGATTATATGTCTCGACACACACACATGGCACGTCCTATTCTTCTCTTCAATGTGCTGCTTACTTTTCCAAAAGAGAATCGTAGTTTTCTTTAATCATGTCACGCTCTCCTTCCAGGTCTGATATCCTCTCCTGCAGCTAAAGAGAGTAAATGCATAAAAATTATTTTAGATGGATGGATGGATAGATGATGGATAGATGATGGATGGATAGATGATGGATAGATGATGGATGGATGGATGGATGGATGGATGGACAGACCTTGTTCAGGTTCTGTAGCGACAGATTAGCAGAGGAAAGTTGATCCTGTAGAGACTGTGCACTTTGCTTTTCCTGCCTTAGCTGTTCACTCAGCTCCTCCACTTTTTGGAGAAGAGCTCCCAGGTTTTCCCTCAGGGACCTCTGACTCTGTAGTGACACATGTTGCACTTAAACTACAGACAGTTCTCACACGTCCAGTGAAATGTTGGTGATGTCTTTTGCTTGTGCGAAATATTACATTACCTCCTCCAGCTGATTTTCACATGCCTTAGAAAAGAAATGAAGACACTTTTGTGGAGCCAGTTTGCCTCAATGTTAACTGTCACATAAAAACCTCTCTGTCTCTGTGTCGTACCTTTTGCAGGTCGTCATACTTCATCTGTGCAGCTCTCAGGGCAGTGCTCTTATCTGAGAGTTCCTTTTGAAGATGTATCACGTCAACGTTCTCTCTGATGTTTATTCTGCCGAGAGAAAATGGCAACAAAATAATATTTTCCACTTTTGTAACCACTGTGTAACATTACCAGGACTATGCAACTTCTCTGAGTATAGTGAAGGTGCTACTTCATTATAAAGAAATATGCTGAGGTAGGCCAACTGCAGCTGCAGAAACATGAGTAACACTAATGATGGCGTCTCTGCCGCAGACACCTGTGTTTGTCTGCGTGCTGTCGCTTCATCTCTCTCAACGTTCCCTCCATCTCCCTCTCCTTCTCTCTCAGTGTGTCCCTGAGCGCCTGTGCTGTCAGCTCCAGCTCCACCACCCTCACCTGTTCTGCGACACTGGACCTGCTGAAAGAGAGCTGATCATTTTCATGGCCTTTGTAAATTAAAAAGTGTTAAATAAAGAATCTTAATCTGCCCAAAACTGGACGCTTACAATCGTTCCATCTCTGTCCTGTTGTCTTCTGTCGTTTGGACGTAGCGGGCTGGGGCCGTTTGGGCTGCTCTCCTGACCGCACCTTCAGCTTCCATACTTTTACCTGTTGATGATAAATAAACATCGTAGGAGGACGGATGAGAATATCATGTTTGTTTGTTTTTTTAAAGCATATGTATTTTTCAAATCACATACTTTTGCTGATCTTATGGGATGTGCGCCCCCCACTCAGGTCCATAATGTTTTGCTTGGCCAGACTTAGTTTGTTCTGAAGAACCTCCTTCTGGCTCTCCAGCATGGATACACGTGCTTCCAGCTCCTGGATGGTGTCCTCCAAGTCCCTCTCTTTCATACCACCTGACCCTGGACTGGCCTGGCGGAGACGCATTAGTCTGGTAGACACCCTGAGATATGGTCAAATATCACATCCATTTTAATGATATCCTAGAACTGGATATCAGCTGAACATCCTCTGTGTCCATCACACAACATTTCTGTGTGTGTGTGTGTGTGTTACCTGCGCAGCCTCTGCTCTTGTGTACGTGAGTGTTGCCTCAGGACATTGTTCTCATCCTGCAACCTCAGACACAGGTCCTCCAGGTGCTCTCTGGGAAACCGGAACAGGCGCTGGGGGTCTGTTGGAGAGGAAGACGAGAAAAACTTTCAAGAACTCTGAAATTAAAATGAGGACTTTTCACTTTTTTAGACTATCCTACCTTTTGTCTTCATGAGATTGTGCTTCTTCGATGTCTTTACGTCACGTAAATTGTCTATAAAAATGCAGTTTTAAAAAAAAGTATATAAAAAATCAGTTAAATTAAATGTGAACACCAACTGTTAATTTTTACTGAATGTTAAATACAGCATGTACAGCATTAGTTAAATACCAATAAAATAATTTAAAAAAAACCCTCCATATCCGAAAGAGACATTTGCATACAAACCAGGGACAGTTGGCATGAGCCCCCCTCTGGTTAGGCCTACGTCCCGTACTGGGTGATCCCCTGCTGTTTCATCTACTATAGGGGACATTGTCCGTCTCCAGCACTTTTCACCAAATCGGAACACTCCAGTCTTCATAAGAATAAAACTGCACATTATTATACACTTACAGTTCAGAGTTTTCACAGCAGAATTTTTTTTTAATTATTTCCAGTACCTACAATGGAGTGTAGTTCAGAGTTTTCGCAATTTTTTTTAAAATTATTTCCAGTACCTACAATGGAGTGATTTAAGCAAAATGACAAAACTTCGAAAAGCCAGTAGTTACTGTAGCACATATCGCTAGCACAGTTGTGTGTAAGTTCAGTGTTATCTTAAAACATTTTACTTTTTTGAATATCAGAAACATTGAAACATTTTCAAATTATATATAACATTATATATATTTACAGTATATTACATTTCCTTAATGCTAATATACATTTAGCTGTAATGTATGGCAAAAATAGAGCAACAGTATTTGTTACAAACATAAAAATCATAAAAAATATTTATGACTCACCACAGCATACCTTCATGAGCCCAGTACCTCTTCTAATGTGTAACCATTCAACATGCGAGTCTCCGCCCCACGCCTGGATAATTCTGGATTTAATCCCTCCTTATCCCCTCCTTCCTAGCCTCCTTCACACCGGCTTTTTGTTTGTTCAGCAAATACCAGCAGTATTATATAACTTGCAAAGATTGGGTGTTCATCAGTGTGTGGATGTATATATTCACATGAATGTGGCTGGAATTGTTGGTTTATTCAAAACAAACTCAACCCTCATCTCACTTCTCCATCTGCCTGGTGCCTAATCTAGTCTGCGCACTAATCTGATTAGCAAAGTACAGGGTTGGCAATCTTGGTCAGAGGAGAAGGTGGAGAAAAGATACATTGAAAAACAAATTTATTAAAAAGAAAATTAGGAAAAATTATGCTGATAATAAAAATTAAAATTGTGTTACACAAATTGAAATCACTTAAATTAAAAACATATATAGTGTATATTTACAGTTGAAATTCATATTGTAAAATCATCTGAATCTGAAACTCTAACATTTCTGTGCTGACGAATGGTGAGTGGTGATTGGTTGTTGCTACTGTCAGTCATCTCTGGGTTAAAGAAAGGAAACACAGCTTCAGTGAAACGGAACTGTGTGAAGGAATAAATGTGGGCCTGAGTCTCTGCGTCATAAAAAGACACCGTTCCATCCTCGTAGTCCAGAAACACCCCGACAATCTGTGGCTTCTGAGACAGACACAGCAGCTCGGCTAGTCCTGCACATGCGCGGTACTCACTGCCATTCCTCAAACAAACAGCCCAGTACCCGTCCTCTGGGCTCAGTGTCACAACACCTTTTCTGTTGACAGACTCCTGAGCGACGCCCAAGTCCCAGGCTGTCTTGTCTCCCACATGTACTTCCCAGTAGTGCCTCCCTGTGGTGAAGCCCTGAAAAATAAAATCGGTTAAAGACAAAAAGTAAGACAAATTAGAGTGCTTCTAAAAATAAAACAAAATAAAATAAAATAAAATAAAATAAAATAAAATAAAATAAAATAAAATAAAAAACAAACAAACAAACAAACAAACAAATAAACAAACANNNNATCCCAAACCTGTCTCCCATCCTTTGATACAATGAGCCAAGGGTTGGCTGTTCTAGGGTCCAGGTGAACGTCAGCTGGTAGACATTACAAAGTTTATATGATTACTTAACGAATTACAACTAGCAAAAAATGTTACTTTTACAAAATTACAAAAGAAATTTTTAAAAAAATTACCACTGGATTTCAGGCAGTTGTTTGATCACTATTAGCACACAGAATTACTTAATTATTTTTTAAATAATAATAATCAATAAATAAAAAAAAGAGAAGATGTTACTTGGATGTTTTATATCTAAATACAAAACTTGTATGGCCTATTTTCAGTTATTTTTTTATTGTATTTGCCTGATAAAAAAATAAAACATGGAGATGTTTTGTACTCTAGGTAAAGTAACCAACCTGCATAGTGCAGCATCTTCATGTGATCTGTAAATGAAACACAAGCCAGAATGAGACAAACAGCTGCCACGTACAGTTTAATGAATGCAGAGAAAAAAGTGATTTCTTGATGTTACCTCGAATGGATAGCTTTTTTGAAACTAAAAGGAGCTGCTCCTCAGCCCTGGCCACTGCTTTCCTTACATCACCCAGACATGTGTGTGAATAGACAATAATGTCAGAGCAGGGTTTCATCGTTGGTGCACAACACAGAGCTGGAAACCTCTGACCCAAAGTCAAAGAGAGAGAAGATTGTCTTTATTATCATTATGAAATTGCCTTTCCTATTTATCGCTTTATTCTTTACTAAGTTGTGTTCTTTTTTGTTCTATCTAATTATTTTCATTGGTTTTGTGTATGAGCCTGTACATGAAGTACAGTTCAGTCACGTCTTGTATTTGAATGGAAAATCAAGCTCAATACTGATCGCCTAAACACACAGTATAGTTTTTACCTCTGCAATAATTGGTATATATTTGATCTACATTTTGTATTTTATTTACATTTATCTATATTTTAATCTACTAATTTACTACTTTTTAACTACTAATGTTCTACTACTGCTAACCTACTGTTCTAATAATATCCATTGTTCAGTTTGATGGTGTGCTGCTATTCTTTTTGGTATTCTATCCATCCATCTATCTCACTGTATGTACAGTATGTGATTTTTTTATGGTTGCCATCTTTTTGTCTTCTTTTCTTTTGCTCTTGTATGAGGCAGAAGGCTGATTTCTCTTGTCTTAAATTCCAACATTAATTGTAAAGGTTGTCCATCTACTACTTTAATATGTAGTTTAATATTTTGTTTCAAATACAGGCTCCCCTCCCTTTAGACTCCACAATTTTCCTAGTGTTAATTGAGGTTATTCACCTTATATAGTGTGTTTTAATTAAGCCCAGACCTGCAGCAGATGTAGATGGTCATCAGAATGAAAGAGCTCCTCCATTTCTCTTCTCTTCCTCTCCAACTCAGCGATTTCCTGTTCCAGCTCTGTGATCAGCCTGGCTGCCCTCAACTCTGCTGCTGCCTGCTTCCTTTGGATCGCAACCACCGCCTCGGCCTGGCACTTCTGGATGTACTGAACCAGAGTGGAGAAGATCTCCACACCCTCCTGAATGTCTTTCTTTGAGTTTTCCTTCAGACCAAGAAAAAAATACAGTACTTAAACAAGCATAGTGTATGAAAGCTATTTTTTCCACATGCACTAAATTAGTTCAAAAATCTGGTGTGAACTCACTTTACTGAGCTCTAGAAACATTTTAATCTCATCCACTTTCTGTTGCCTGTCATGGATCATCTGCTGAACATCAATCTCTATCTGCTTCATTTGAGCCTGTTAGCACGGGATAAAAAAAACCATGAAAAAAAATCAAGTTTAAGATCAGAGAGTTTTCAATATTTGACGTTGTTGACACGATGAAGTGAAAATCTCACCTTTTTCTCTCGACTCTCGCACTCCACTGGGACGGTGTTATGACAACGGTGGTCAGACTCTGTGCACAGGACACACACACACTTTTGGTCATTTCTGCAGTACAACTCCAGCAGGCGCCGGTGCCGTTTACACATCCTGTTCTCCAACATTGCAATGGGTTCGATCAGCTTGTGGGTCTTCAAGGTGGGAACTGTGAAGTGAGGCTCCAGGTGACCCTCACAGTATGAGGTCAGACACATGAGGCAGGACTTTAAGGCCTTTGTTTCCTTCCCAACGCATGCATCGCAGTGTATGGCCTTGACGATCAGTGAGTTTTGCTTTCTGGCTTGTATCTTCTCGGACATTTCCTTGGCAAAGTGGTTTGCGCAGAGCTCCGGGCGACGATGGAATACCGTCAGGCATCTGGGACAGCTGATGTCATCATTGCTGTTCCAGTGTGAGGTGATGCAGCTGAAGCAGAAGCTGTGTCCGCAGGGAATGGAGACAGGCTCGGAGAAAACGTCCTCACAGACGCTACAATTAAACTGCACGTCTGCCAAAAGAATGCTGGGAAAAGCCATGACCTGAAAACTAAAAATATATACTTAATGTATCAAGATAAAATAAACTAGAAATGAAAAGACATAGCGGAAATGTATCACTCTTGTAGTTAAAATGTATTAATTCTATAGTATAGACCTCAGTCTTTTTTTTTTATCAGTAGTACACTGAGAAAAGCTAGATCTACTTCCGTATACTTACACAACTGACTGCTGCCCACTGGCCAAAGTCCAGCTGCCTGCTCAGTCAGCCCGGCCTTCAATGTGAGAAAATGACTCTAGAGTCCCATCTAATTGCCTAAACTATTCAGTCTAAAAACAAATGTATACATGTAACTTAAGTTCCTGTTTTTTTATACAGTTCCTGCTTCACCATCCTATAAATGTTACACCGTTACATTTTTTTCCCCCTTATTGCTCACAACATGAGTAAAAGTACTTTGCCGATCAAATGTAGTGTATTTCTTTACTCGTTCTTACCTTGAAGCTTTGTATGAAACTGGACCTCTTAAGGAAGAAAAGGTAAACACCGGTACAGAGCCCACGTCCCCTTCGTTCTGCTCCTAACACTCCCTCTGGGACTTTTCCCCCTGCAGGGCTTTTATTACTTCCACGTTGTCCCAAGGAGGGAGGAGTGAAGTGTCACCTTCACTGGGTTTGAATTGTCCAGTGTTTCTTTGTATTTGTACCACACTATTGTATTTGAATTTGCTTTGAATTTCACTGAGCGGAGACCAGAGCGGTTTAAACAAATACCTGTTTAGTCTACTGTACTGTTATTGTCATCCACAAGCACAGCACTAATATTACAATGTACACGGTCACTGCAAAGATGACCCGAAATACATCTTAATTCAAAAATAGACATTGTTACATTTCGTTTGTCTCACCTTTAATTTGAGAAATGATGAGAGGAAACAGCTCAATTAGCTCAAATGTGTAGCTACATAGCTAACATGGCTAACATAACAGTGATTCTGTGCTATAGAACAGCTCAGTGACGTCAGGGACTGTCCGATTTTACTTTTATAGACAATACCTTGGGTGACAGTCCATGCAGGCCAACCAGCTAGACACGCAAGACACAAATAAAAAGAGAATAAAATAAAAATGAAAATGATGAACTTTGCAGATTCAGGATTATGTAGTGACAGCTGTTGGTATTACCTTTTCCAGGTGATGGTCCAGATCTGTTTGCGACAGCTGAACTAGAGAGGTTACCATCATGTTCAATCTGACAACATGAACTGTTGAAAGACAATTAAAGCACGTTACAAAGCTGAATATGATGTAATGCAGACTGACTCAACCAAAACTGAAATCAGGACGATAATAGAAACATAAAGCAGATACTTACCAGGTATTTTGTCTGTAGCTGGGAGTGGAGTGATTTTTTTTATAAATGAAAGACAAAAATAGAGAGATCTATCAGTGAATTTACAGTAGGTGGTTAAAAACTAAAGACTGGTGGCAGTTATGAGTTAATTAAGTGAAACTTTTGCTGCAAATACCTGCATTAATATTCACTCCACTGCTCCTATACCCCTGAAACTCAGAGAAGAGAGTGAATTCGTAATCAGTTCCAGCAGTGAGAAACGAGACGGTGTAAGTCATGGGTCCCTCTCCATAAGATGCTGTGATGTTTATCTCCATGTCATCATACTGGAGAACAAAGGCGTCGGCACTGCTGACCCTGTCCCACTGCAGCGTGATACTGGTCGTATTCTTTTGGGTTAACATGAAGTTTTCTGCATTCGGAAGATCTGGGACATAACAAAAAAGATGAATAACATTGTTTTCAATTTATCTGTTCAAGACAGAACCTATTTTCTTAAATCATATATTACTGTTTCCATTTCAGTGTCACACGAAGAGGACAGGACTTATTAGACTGTCATCCATACTGACAAATCACATCCTACGTATCAAGATGAAGCATGACATATCCGTTCTAACAAAACGGCAGATAATGTGGGATCAGGAAAAACATGTAGGTACGTCATCTGACAGAGTGACGGCTGGGATTTATCTAATGATCTTAACGTAATTCATCTAGAAAACATCATCAGCTACACTAATGATGTTATGCTTATGTCTTTAGGTTTCCAAGACCATATATTATAAACCTTTCATCTGTCATTACAAGATTGAGTAATTCAAAAATATAAATAAACCTTGAGTGGAATTTATTTAGATGAAAATTTATGGTACGCAATATGAATTTCCTTTGGAAACCAGTTATAATGCTGTTACCACTTTTGCTACTTTTACGTAGAGGAAGTATTTTAAAGTAAAATGCCCAGCACTGTGTGTACTGTATAAATGTTATGTCATTATGTAGTTTCTAGATTACATTTGACATTACATACATTACCTGCTGTGTAGCAGACGAATGGGAAACTGAGGGAACAGTTTTCACCCGACCACAGTCCTACATCGCTGAATGCTGTGGTGACACATTCCTCCACACTGGAATTTGACTCTCCTTCAGCCCAGTGACGAAACAGTGAGGTGCTTCCGTCAGACCACACTTTGTCCCAGAAGAGACCGATCCACACTGAATCCCCAGAGGTCAGGTTGGCGATAATGGCATTTTCTGCGTTACTTCTTACACTGGAAGAGAGACAGCAGCATGTGCACGAGTGAAGCACTTCACTTTATGAAACAGTATCACAACTGTGGCTACAACAATTACAACATGCTAGTCTAAATAACAGGTTAAAAATAATCTGGTTGCTAAAGATAGCAGCAACACAATGACACACTTAATCTGGTGACATTAAAGTGCAGTACCTAAAAATGGAACCAGGTTTTTTCTGTCATACATTATCTGTGTTAATCATAATAATTCATTTGATAAATTGATTTAATTTTTTTACAAAGTTCCACACTGTAAGATCCAATAGCAACCCTGACTTAAATAAATTAGTTAACTTTGCTTGGTTATCCAGCAATATACGTAAAGTAGGATGGAATGATGAATGAATGAAATCTGTATAAATCATGATTAATTATTATCACTATTAATCATGATTAATCGCCATGACAAATTGTCTTAATCTATCTACTTTTAACATTTGGGTGTAACAACATGCAATATTTAATATCAGGTGGCATGATTGGAGCTACTGTGCCGTGAAATCCAATTAGCAACAAGTTCATCCCGGAATAAATGGAACAAAAAAGATGAGTCATGGGTCAAAGGTAGCCAGGAGGTGGGGCTCTCTGGTAAACTGTGATACTATTTATGTCTAGTTTTACCACATTATCAAATGTGTTTCTTTTGAAACGTCAGCATTGGTTAGCATTGGCATGGCAGATTAACTCAGTCCTCAAGCATCTACAGGTAATCAAGCGGTGTAATACGTAGTACGATTTTTATCGCGTAGCATCTGCTTCTTTTTCATTCATTCCTACTGTACCTGGCCAGATCGACATAATTCTTTCTGCAGTATTTCTGTGCATCTGTCCAATTTAGAGGCTGCTCAATCTTCACAAACGAAGTGTCGTTCAAGTCTGCACACAGGTATAAAGATGCAAAGAATTAACTCATGCAGCCATGTGTCTGTAATTATTAACAGAGCCAAAACATTACTAACAACATTTTTTACTTGCTTTGAAGGATAAATCCAAAGTCTGCACTCACCACTGTAGCAGACAAAGGGTCGTTTGGAATCACACCCAGCATCGCCCCATTTACCCTGTGCGATGACATCACCAAATAATTCCACACACCTATTTGGTCCTCCCAATGGATAACCATAGTCCCAGTTTTTGAATTGTCTCTCATCTTGACTGTAGAAAATGCTGTTACTTAAGGACCATCTCCAGCCATTTTCCAGGTCATCAGAGAGACCAATCCAGGCTTGGCCTGTTGAAGAAGATGTTCAGCATGAAACCATGATCGTTACCTGAAAATGATGGAAAGATACCAAAGATGCTGTTGGATGTGCTACCTGTGTAATCTGATGTTGTGTCCAGAACAGCAGTGATCTCCTCAGTGTTTTCAATGGTTACCAGGTCAGTGTAGATATCTCTACAGAATATCTGCGCTTCGGTCCAGTTCAGCGGAATGCTGACAAAGTGGTAGTCTCGGGTATGGGCACCACTGATCACCAGTCCTATACAAAATACGTTGTTTTGAAATTCTCACTATGAAAAGAGACTGTTTCTTATGAAAAAAAGATTAAAAAGGTTAAGGTAAATTGAAACACCAATATTCTGACATAAAGTTTTAAGTGTTTAATGGCTTGATGGCATAAACAAAAGCAAGAATTTGACTGTTATTCAGCATTTACCATTTTTCTTCAAAACAGGACAAAGCAATGAGACAAATATGTATAACAGTGTATATTTGGTTTGTTGTCCCTACAGTTTGTGCGGTTAAAAGTTTGTTGAAACATACTTCATAAAAAAACACAAGTTAAAATAAGCAACACCAACCTGTGAGCACAAACATGACAAGCCTGTAATCCATAGGTTTAACCTGTGAAGGAAAAAAATATACTTATAAAGTTTATTACATTACATCTAGCATTTAGTTTATAAAACAACAATAGTATTTACTCACCATTATGTGAAATCTGCCTTACTGCTCCAAAAGTCAGGACTATGAATGTTGCTGTTTACCGACTATGCATGTCAAGCGTGACAGTTGAGTACGTGTTTGACAAATGTCACTGCTCATCTGCTGTGCCTCTACCAGTAATGGGTGTACTATAAGGAAGAAAGAAAGAAAAAAAACTTTCATGACACGCAACAGTGGAGGATCTAGAGACAAATATTCTAATTATGTTTGAGTGAAACCCTGTACTGTACTGTACTGTGCCAGCTTATTGCTAAATAGTACAATTTCATTGAATATCATTGTTTGTTTGCTGCTTACCTTATTTAACTATTTAAGCTATTTTCTAAAATAATTAATTACACAGGAAAACATTATTTAAAAAAAAAGCCCTGTTTTTTTTGTCTTTTCTTTTATTTCTGGTGCATGCTAGTTAAGTTCATTTAAAACAAAACAAAACAAAACAAAACAAAACAAAAAAAACCCCAAAGCAAAACACATTCTTCTTCTTGAGTTACACACTTGAGGCTATTGTACACTTCACAAATTCAAAACGTAACTTGTACTGGATGCATACTTTTTAAATATTGTAAGGTGAGCCAACAGGTTTGTGAAGTTACATGAGGGAAGGTTTGTGCATTAGAAGATAAATTCCAAACAGGAGTGTCACCTGTGCTTACTTTAAGGCAGTACTTCTCAAATAGTGGGGTGCAGGGAGGTGCCAGGGGGGTGTGTGGGACGTCCAATAAAATATGGCACGCTGGACATAAGTGTACCACTGCTGTAATGCTTAAATGATAACAAGCCTCCAGTCACTAGGTGGCAGCAACTCATACAGTGGTTTGTACAGATAAAAATATACATGTTATCAGGTTCTCAATAGTATTTCAATTTACGTGGTGTGAGTGGGGTGGGGGGTGGGGGGGTGTAGGGCGTGACATTTCTGTCCCCAAGGTGCATGACAGAAAGTTATTGAATCACTGCTTTAACGTGAGTCTCCTCAGGCTCCAAAGCTCAGTCAGAAATGCACCTTCTGACCAAAACTGAACTTGGGAGGGTTTCAGATAAACATACTGCTCAGTCAGTATGCTCAGTCAGAAATGCACCTTCTGACCAAAACTGAACTTGGGAGGGTTTCAGATAAACATAACATCTTGGTACTTCGTGATAAAATCCTGTTCAACAAATTATTTGAACCTTTTCACAGATTCAGTGATAAAAGAGCCTGGCCCTGTGACTCGTGAGAGCCTTTTAGGCATTTCAAGATGTTTTGGAAACTCCCTTGCAAAGTCAAAAGTCACAACTGAGTGAGACAGGTGCTTAGTCATGTGAGTAGGAATGCATCAGTGCAAAAACAAAACCTGTTACTTTATTCCCTCTGACAAAATGAATGGTGGAATCTACATTGCAGAAATTATGATGACCAGATAGAGTGTTTTCTAGAACAACAAGTGCATCTGTAATGGGTGTGTAAACAGACATCCCATGCGAAGCTGCACATATAGACACCAATGATACACGGCTATTTTAGCAGGACAATTTAAGTCCTCATACTGTACAAATGACAGGACAGTGGCATCCTACACCAAGGCCTACAATCTGGATATGTATTTTATTTAAAATATAAGCAACACATTATAAAGTGGAAGGCAACATGTTTATGCCACCAAAATAAATATCACTCAAAGTAAATTAAGCAAGAAAGATTAGATTTGTTGTTGATTTCTGCAGTAAAATATAGTTAACAAAGATATAGGTCAGTAAGTCTTCAATTGTCTTTGTTTATATTTTAGGTGACAATGTGGTTGTATTTTTTCTTTATATTATAACAAAGGGAACTTTTCTTTTTCCAAAATTAAATAAGGAACTTTTAAAATGTATATAAATTACCAAATCCTTTTGTTGTAATTGACATCGGTACCAGCAGAGGGTGCTAACGTTGGCATTAATGCTGGAGCACATTTATAGTAACAAATACTGTATTAAATTAATTAAAAACAATATTTAAAAAAAAAGTCTTAAAACAAATATGACTAACTGGTACAAAACCATTCATGGCTTTAAAAATAACATTTAAATTATAAACACTCCCACTTGCTAAATATATAATTGAATACTATGTATATGTGGGCCAATAAGTAGGGCAATACTTTAAATAGGCGCTGAAGACACTGATTTATGCTTGTAATTCCGACTATGCACTTTGTAACAAAGGCATGATACTAAGAGAGACAAAGAGAAAGAGTGAGAGGGAGAGCAAGAGAGTGAGAGAGGAAGTAAGAGAGAGAGAGTGTGCGCGCGTGTTCAAGCTCGCACACCTTGCACGTCGTATTCCGGGAAAGTGCGCCTGCGCCACAGTGTGGAAGCACATGCTGCATTCACGGCAAGACAAAAATACGCACACGATAAAGATAAATCATTAAATTGCTTCTTTCTTTCTGTTTTTTTTTAGAAGTGACTCTTTATATAGGAGTATTTATTATTTTTATATTAATGGCTGTATTGTTAAATTATTATTATTAATACGTTTCGAATATGCTGATTTGAAAAACAATTAACGTATGCTAACGTTGACGTAGTTACTTAAAATGTCGACACAAAGTCAATTATTAGAATATATATAATACAAGTATCAATGTCATAAAGGAGGGGATTCTACACATTTATCATCACTAGCTGTTTTAAACCTTTTAAAAATGTTTTATTTTATAAATAAATATTTTTTCCTACTATTTAGTATCTATCTGCATGTTTTTTAAACAGTTATTCGAATGTTTTCCTGAAACAAAATACAACTGCTTTTTTATACTGATCCGAAAGTGTCATCTTAATTTCTAACGCCTTTGAAAAGGGGTATTTATATCAACAATCTCGTATTTTAGGTTTAGACGTCATCCTTAAGTTAACAGACTAAATCCTTTTTAGTTTTAACATAAAGAGAAGTCGACCATGTTTACCTTAACGCAGAGATGAAATTGTTGGTAAAACAATAGAAACAAATATTAACTTCTATATACACCATGTTTCGAAAGAGCTTCAGCGGGTTTGACGAAAAGGTTTCACGTAACTTGTTGTTGTTGATAATGTCGGTGACGACTGCATGCATTTACATCTTATGCTGTGTTAGTTTGTTCGATAGACTACTGGTGAACTTCTTAAACACATACCTAGACAATAAATGAAAAATATTATAAAATACAACATAATATTACTCAGCCGAGCTGGTCGACGATGCAACAGCAGACCTTTTGCCAGGACCCAGGAGGAAAAACACAGGTGTGATGGCCTTGTTCCATTAGGGTGTTACATTTATAGGCTGCATGCTGACTCACTGTCTCACTGGTGTGAAACAAAAAAAGAGTTACAGTTAATGTTGTCAGCAACAATAATTGCACCTGTGTGCTATTCTTCTGCACAAACAATATAAAAAAATTCTGCTAAGACACAAAGGCTAAACAGCAAAAAGGAAAATAGGATACAATAACACGATTAACATTATTATCAACAACAACGACGACAATAAAAAGAAAAGGAATGTGGATGCAATCTCGACTGTGCTGAGTTTCCTTGAGCACCTGAACGCAGCACGAGAACTCCGGAGGAGAGTGAAAGAGAAGGAGGAGGGGAGGAGGATGTAGAGGAGACAGACCGAAGGGAAGCAGCATGAAGAAAATACCCGGTATCTAGGCTGTGAGACGGGAGAGCATCTCTTTTTCTCTCGCTGATTTCAAGAGAACTGAAAGCGGTGGATGTGAGAAAAGGATGGAGGAGAAGAAGAAAGAGTTCCTTTGTGGGGTGGTAGAAGGTAAGAACGGCCGACTGAAGGTCTGACCTCCCATAACATCACGTGTTATTTTTTAATAGACCACCGACTGACCTACATTTAAGACCCACCAGCTCTTGTAAGGGGGGCGTGGGAGTGGGGTAAGTGGGATTGAAGGTGAAGATGTGCTGGTGATCAGCCAAGCTCAGAGTGATAATCAGACAGACTGTGAGTGCCTGTTTCAAAGGCTGCTGTTTCTGCAAGGAAATCCTCTGCTTCGAGGCTGGTGGTAGTAAAATAAAAAAATAACAAAACAAACAAAAATAAAAATAAAAACACGATGATGATTGGATGATAGTTATGGTAACAAATATGCAGAAGAAGATGCTACTGTGAAGATAGTGATTATGGTGATGATGATGAATTGGTTTTTGGCTGACAAAGCAATTCAAAAATGCTTCAGTATAAAGTGACAAAGGATGTGTGGAAAACGAAGTCTTGTAATAATCACAACAATTAACATAGAAACATTAACTGGTTCAGTGACAATCATGAATTGCTGGTAAAGTAAATGTACATTTAAGGACAACATGCTCAGCGATCCATTGATAATAATCAACAGCGTTTATACTTATATTTAAGCAATGTTTGTCCACAAAATCAGAAATATAAGCACAAGTGTAAAAGTTCCTTTACCGATATTATAATTTTAAAAAAATGGTTCCATCATTTGGGGGAGCTGTGTTCTGTTAATCAGGATTTTTTTCTAACCATTACAAATGAATTAAAAAAAAAATCAGAGCAAATTTTTCCCCAAACCCATTAAAATCATTAAACTAAAATGATTAAAGGAATTTGGAAACTGTTTAAAACTCATGTGTACATTGTTTATCCACACATTTGATGTTTTTAAACCAATGTCGCATTTAGAACACCATAACCAGGTAAACGCCATAGCTAGACAAATGTACTTAAGACGTAACACAGTGGTTCCCAACCACTGTGCTGTAGCATACCGGTGTGGCATGAGAGATCATCAGGGGTACAGTGGAAAATTATACAATATGGGTTAAACAAAGAGATGTGGTGCTGTCCATGGTGTTGACAGACGGGTTACATTAAGAAAATCTAGCTGGAAATATGTGATAATAACAACAGGTAATATCAAATGGATTTTGGATTTAATTACTTAAAGAAACAGGTATAGATTTGTGATCTTATACTTGTGTGTAATGTTATATGTATACAGTACATTTGTATATCTGTATAGAACCCCTTGCTTTGCTTTGTGCTGGGGCAGTATGCACTTTAAGTGCTTTTCTTTCACTACAGGGTTCTATGGGAGACCTTGGTCTATGGATCAGAGGAAGGTTCTCTTTCACTGGTAAGTCCTTACAGAACCTATAAACTAGTAATCACTGCAGCATTTGTCTACAACCCTGCATGTAATGTTCCGTGTACATGGCTTGCGATTAAAGGCTTCATACGCATCGTTAACTTTGCAGAGTTGATGCTCTTGTGCTCACACGAGCTCAAGAGTCACTGATCTGACATATTTGTGCCAAAGTCACAGCAGGCTTTTTTAGATCCTGTGGTAGATCACAGATCATACTGAAGGGGAGACACCAGGAGGCGAAGAAGGGAAAACAACGATTCATTCAACATAAACACGTCATTTGCCGCTGTATGATGGCTGCAAAGGCAAGACTACCGTTTGACTGAAATAAAGTCAAGTCCCCTTAAACTGAACAAGACAATGACAGTTCTCGTCAAGTTCCATTAGCAGACACAAAAGACTTTGATGATGACAGTACTTACAGATATTCAGATACAGATATTATTTAAGTCAACATACAATTAAACATACATTTATGTATGTTTATAAATGTATATATATAGTATACACACATACACACACACACACACACACACATATCTATATATATCTACATATATGTTTAGGTATATGTATATATTAGGCCTGGGCAACAATTAAACATTTTAATCTTGAGTAACTGCAGTGTTACGCAAATTTCAATAATCAATTCAAAAGTATAGTATAGTGCATTTAAAACTATATACATATAAACTGTATATAAACTGCTCTCAACCATAACATTACCAGTCTATATTCAGTACTAAATGTCCCGATGTGAGGTGAAGCACAAAAAAGTTCACAGCTAGAATTTAGTGTAAACACTGCGCGCTGACAGCTAAGGCTGGTGTTAGCACTCCAAAGTGACAACAGCTTACACCAGTGATGCTGTTGTGCTAATTAGACTGCCCCATGAGAAACCCAAGCTGCCCGAGGAGCTGTAGAGGAGAAGACGGGGGGGGGGGCCCTAGCTGGAGAGATGCCATAACAAGAAGTCTTTGTCATAATGGGAAATGGATGAGTTAACGGCACTGAACGGACATCAGAAGGAACAGCTAGTGATGAATTTTGGTGTTCAAAGACACAAGGATGAACTCTCCTCTGTACCTTTACAACTTGAAGGACCTTGTTTACACAGTAAAAATTGCTATTATTTATGACTGGACAAGGGCCGTTTGGAGGTAGGATTTTGCAAGAGTTCAATTATCTTCTGGTTCCTTTGATAATAAAAGAAATAATTTAAAGATATTTGCATTAACCCGCAGTAAAAAATAATTAAGTTGATGTGATTATAATGTTAAGTTGCCAAGCCCTAGTATAAGACAAGACCAATTTCCAATATTTTTACAAAGCTGAGTTTCATTGAAACATTTTTTAGGTACACGATATAAAAGTATGTGTATATTAATCTAACTTGGTCCCCAAAATCATCAGTTTAACTCAGCTTAGGTGAAGCAACAATGAATACACCCCAAAAGTAAAAAATATTATTTTTAGTATTTTGTGTGACCAGCGTGATCTTTGAGGACAGCACTAAGTCTTCTAGGCATTGATTGAACAAGTTGGCAACATATTACAACATCCAGAACAATGCCTTTTAGTGCCTGGATGCTGGACAGAGAATGATGTTTAACTTGTCTCTTCAGAATCCCCCATAGGTGTTCAGATGGAATCAGATCAGGAGACAGACCTGGCCATTCAATCACCTTCACCCTATTCTTCAGAAATGCAACAGTTGCTTTAGATGTGTGCTTTGAGTCATAGTCATGTTGGAACAGTGCATGACTACTAAGGGCACGAAGTGATGGCAACATCTTCCCCTTTAATATAGAGCAGTACATCAGTTCATGGTACCATCAATTAAATCCAGCTCCCTGACACCAGCAGCACTGGCACCACCAGGTTTCACTGTAGGCACCATGCACTTTTCTTTGAAAACCTCACTTTTGCAATGCCATACAGTTTTAAATTCACCAGTTCCAATAACAGTGATCTTTGTCTCATCGCTCCAGAGTTTAGAATCCCAGTAGTTTTCATCTTTTTCAGCATAGGTCCTGGCAAATCCATGCCGTGGTTTTTTTGTGCATGGGCTTTAGAAGAGGCTTTCTTCACGGACGATACCCATGCATGCCATTCCTCAGCAGTGTGCACCGTAGTATGTCACGGTGAACAGTCAATCCAGTTTGGCTTTCTGCCTCTTTAGCTAACTGCAGTGTACATGTATGGCGATTTCTTTTCCAGGTTTTGGAACATTTCTGTTCCTTGTGGGCACATGCAATGGGAAGGTTTCTTTGTAAAATAATGCCATTTTATAGTCACCTGCCTGGTAGACACCTCTTTGGTGAATAATCTCCTGGTGGTTGAATTCTTGCTAATTAGAATTCCCTAGTTTTAAGTTAGGCTTGTCCCCAAAGACTTTAAATTGGGTGTACTGATTGACTGCAACATGGGCTCGAATAATTTTGCTAGGAAAATAACTATTTTGTGAGAGAAAAGTAACACATCTTACTTGCACTCAATGGCTGACATTTGTGGCAATATGTCAGTGTATTGTTCCATAGTAAATGTTGTCTCTGAAAGGAAACTACAGGTTTCCTGAGAAATCTGTGTGTGTATATATGTGTATATATATACTGTATATATATATATATATATATATATATATACTGTATATATATATGCTGTATATATACTGTATATATACTGTGTATATATATATATATATATATATATATATATATCTCCTTTCCATAAATACATGGAAAGGTTGCTGGGAGCTGTTTGTTGCTACACAACCAGTGGTGACAGCTGTCTCCATCCCAGGAGAAATATTGTTTCCACTACCCTTAGCTTTCGCTGGTCAAACTAAAACATTTATGAAACATTTTCCATCAGTGTTATATATCTTACTACAGACTCTAGCCACAACAAGTACTCAGCCGCATACTAAGGTGATATTCTCTGTAGTGCATCTGTTTTGTCAAGTGCTTTTTGGAGAAACCATTATGATAAATCTGACTCAGACACTTTGTGACTGAAGTAAAGCCAAGTGAGCATGTGGGCTCCAGGATTATTAATAGATTTGCTTTTCTAGACTCAAGCATGGGGTGAAGGCAAAAAATTCTATGCCGTGTGAGTGTTGCATAAGTTTGCCAGAGTGAGGCTGTAGATGTGTGTACAGGAGAACTGTATGTGTGTGTGCTAAAGAGAGGTTTGCTGTCTTTGTGGAGACAGCTCATTTACCATCTGGTCAGAAAGTGAAGCACAGAGAAAGTGAGGATGTGTGTGTTCTTTTTTGTTTCTGCTGCACCTTCACACATACAGTATATAGGTCAACATTCTTATAGACCTACAGAACTGTACTGCTATACTAAGGCAGGGATGATATGAAAATCCTATATCAGTCAAAGAAAGCTATAAATCTACCCCCCCCCCCAAAAAAAAGATTAAAAGTGCAATACTGTATCTACTATATGTGTGATTTTGTGAGATCTTATGCTGCTATCAATCCTGCTCCTACCTAGTACTATTGTGTGTACTATTTATAATTCAGGAGGTCATTTCCTGTAACTCTAGAGGCCATGGTCGATACAGTAAATCTATTTTCTTTGCTGTTTGTTCTTTTTATGTTTTCTCTCTTACACCCCCCTCTTCCTACTGTCATTGTTATTTAATCTCTCTGTCAATGGCTAATCCAAAACTACTGACATGTAAACAAGATGATGTATAATTAGAAGCCACTACATAAATTAGGTTTGTTTAATTTCATGCAAAGATAACCCAACACAGAGGATTAAATCACTTTGGATGTGTTTGGAATTGAGTGAGTGATAGAAATCAATCTGCTGCTTAACAAAGTATTTGTCCTGGTGTAAATGGGCTTTGTAACCATTAGAGAGTTTTTTTTTTATCACATGCCCTAGCTGAGGTATAGAACCGAAAGCCTTCTGGTGACTGGCAGGAAACCTGCAGTAATACTGGACCACATCAACAGAAACATCAAAAGAGAAAATACAACAAAATGGCAGCACTCCTGCAGATGACATCATTTACCATGGGCAACCATCAAAGGGTTTTTCATATGTGCACTCTCTAGATTATAAAAAATGTGTATTTATCAAATTGTCCACTAGAATAGTAGTTTAGCAAAGAGAAACCCATGAAGTTGAATATGAAACAAAAAGGAAGGGAATCAATAAATGAATTAAGATGAGCTACATAATAGAAATATGAGGAAATAATATTAAAACTATATCGAAAACAAACAGCACAGATCTACAGTAGTCCATAGTAGGAGAAACAAAAAACCTTTAGGTTTGGATATTTGAAACCTACGAAAACATCACTGCTCTTTTGCACACTTTGTTATTCACCAGGATGCAACAGTGGGGGCTGAACACTTACCTGTACGGTCCCAAAGATGACCTCAAACACAGACTGTTGTGGAGAGAAGTCTATTCTCCTGAGGAGGAAGGTGAGGACAAACCATTCAGTCATCTGTCACCGAGTTTATATAACGCTACATTGTAGAAGCGTTTTGTGATTGATGCTATTGTACTGTGTCTGTTTGGACTGCACGATGTTGGTGATTTCACAATGCATAAAGGCAGGAATGTCACTTGCATCACCCCATGTTTTTGTCAATGATTTAGATATAAGTAGGTACGCAAGTGTTAGACCATAAATTGAAAGTTTAAAATGTCATTAGCATTTGTAGTGTATTCTCATTGTGTCAGTCGTGGCGACTTTTATTTTCATTGTATTCAGATTTATAGATTTAAAACCACCTTGAGTTGGCTGCTATACTAGTTGGCTGGAATACAAAGTGGAATGGCATTATATTAAATTTCCAAAGAGACAGTTACAATGGATTACTTGAAACTGTTAAACTAATTAGACATTCAGGTATCAAGCGGCTGCCCCCCCCTTTACTTGGTCATTAGGTAAAGAGTTTTATTTTAATTTCTTCGATTACTGTCTGCAATATATGGTGGTAACTCAGTGTTATTTTTCTTTTCACCCCTCCTTTCAGCTCAGCTACGTACCCTCATAATGGAGGCCCAGTCGAGAGGCTTGAGGTTTGTTTATGCCCTTTCTCCTGGTCAGGACATCGTCTTCTCCTCCGCCTGTGACCTTACACTGCTCAAACGCAAACTAAGACAGGTATGCAAAGTGTCCTACAAATAAAGACTGAAAAGAAAAAAACAACACATAAAAAATAACAAGTGCTTGTTTGTGATTGCGTTTTACAAGAAATAGTCAAACAATAAATTAACTACTTATTACTTTTTATTTGTCTAAGATTTTGTTGTTACAACTTCCAAAGTGAATTTAACCTTTAGGAGAGTGGCCCTGAAATGGGGTCCTGCTGTTTGCTCTTTGACCCACGAGCCACCTATTTGCAGACCTAACTTGTACTATATTCTATTGCATTGTATGTGCATTTGACTACCCCTGCCTCTTACAATAATAATAATAATAATAGTAATAATAATAGTAGTAGTAATAATAATAATAATGTTAATATATCAAGTGTGATATCAAGCAGGAAATGGTTCCAAAATACAAAAACAAGGTTCAAGTGAGATGAATAATTTTTACTGTAATTGTATTGTTGTTAAGCTCTATGTCTATGACTTTATCTCTCTTCATGGTCAGGTATCAGACCTGGGTTGCCAGGCATTTGCCATTCTGTTTGATGACATTGATCACTCCATGTGCCAGGCCGACAGCGAGGCCTTCTCTTCATTCGCTCAAGCTCAGGTCACTGTAACCAATGAGATTTATCGGTTCTTGGGGGAACCTGCTGTCTTCCTCTTTTGCCCAACAGGTAATACTAGAGGATAGACACATAGTGTTTTTTAAAACTTCTGTGCACCCTAAATGATGGGAAAAAATAAACCAAATGTTCTATCTCTCTTCTCCTGTAGAATACTGTGGTTCTCTGTGTTCTCCCAGTGTATCCAAATCTCCTTACCTTCAGACTGTTGGAGAAGAGCTGCTGCCCAACATCACAGTTATATGGACAGGTGGGAAAAAAACCCAGATAGTCTCTTGTTTTGTAATGTGTCGTCAGCTGAGAGCCCACACATGCACTTCTGAGAACAAAAGAATCATTTTGTTTTAGTTGAACGTCCACCAACCCACACATTAAAGTGCAGTGGAAATGAATATGCACGCATGCACGCACACACACACACACACCTACGCATGCTCCCGCTCTCAAATCTCTATTTTTCCATCAGTGCACACTGCAAATTAAGTCGCTAATTTATCACATGAATTGCTGCAGTTGCCATTTGTTATCACCACACTTTCGCTAGGTTTTCTTGGATCTCATTTGAATTTCAAAGCATAATCCATTTTGGTTTTGAAGTTTGTCCTAACACACTGGTTTGTCTAAATGACTAGAAATGGGTCACAGGAATTGTTGTTTGGATGTGGACTGCTTAATCCTTAAATTATAACAGCGGGGTTTATTCCCAAAACAGACACTCGATAATCGGAGAGAGCTTTTACTGCCAGTGCAATTAAGTATATGCAGCTTTTTATATTACTGATAACATAATGCATTAAACTATTTAACTTAATCAGAAATATATGGTACCAGTAAATGAACAGTGCACCACTGGACTGTTTTGACAATTGAACTGTGCAAAAGTGAAAAGGTTTTGTAACAACATGTATAAACCATGGATCACAATCCCTTCTGATCTTTCTATTTACCTTTGGTTAGGTGTGATTCTTCTTAATAAATCTTTTTTTTATAAAGTAGATATTTTAGAGATGGGGAGAAAGAACAATCTCTGTGATTACTTCCTTGCTGTTGCTCTCTGAATCCTTAAATGTTTTGGTTTGGTTCCACTTTTTCACAGGCAGCAAGGTCATCTCTCGAAAAATGTCTGTAGACTGTCTGGCTGAAGTAGAGTCTGTCCTCCAGCGTCCACCACTCGTTTGGGACAACCTGCATGCTAATGACTACGACTCCAGACGCCTCTTCCTGGGGCCTTTCAAGGGTCGAGAAGCTCGGTTGAGGAGCCACCTCCGGGGGTTGTTACTCAATCCTAACTGCGAATTTGAAGCCAACTACATTCCACTGCACACACTGGGGAGCTGGTACAGATCTGGAGCGGAGGAGGAGAGAAAAGGTGAAGGCAACGGCAGAAGTAAGGCAGATGGAAGGCATGAGTATGAGACAGAAGTTGTCCTGAGTCAGTAAACAGAAATATTCTGTGCCAATGAACACTCATGTATACTTCACTGGCAGGGCCTCTGTGGAAATATTTAAAAGTCAGTGTTGTTTGGAACCAAAGCATTTTAGCATCGGCCAGAAGATTTGACTAACATCATCTTCAATTACTGAAAAACCCCACAACAACACACATTCAGCTCAGGAAGATAAATCTGCACATTTGTTGACTGACAGGATATCTGTTGTCCTGAACAAAGTCACAACAACACACATTCAGCTCAAGAAGATACATCTGCACATTTGTTGACTGACAGGATACTGCATATAAAACCTAATGTCAGAACTCTATAATACTAGACTGGGATGAGCTTCCCATTCATATTTATTGAATCTAATTTACCCTGACAATAAAAACAGAGCAGAATTTGACCAGGGACAGAAAAGAAGAACATGGAGTTTGGATAAGAAAAACAAATTGTAGAGAAACCACTGTTGATGTTGTGCTGCAGGGTCAAGAGAGGGAAGGAGAACCTGTGATGGAAAATGCTCTGTGTGATAATGGAAATAATTAAGAGAGAGGAGTGTCCCTCTTTAGAGGAGTACACAGGCTGAGGATTTAAAGGAGGAGAATAAAAGTGGGGAAAGGAGGGAGTTGAAATGATTCCACTGTCATGTGTAATTAGTACTGCGTAGAGTTTGGAAATCCCTGGTGTGGTCAGCATTTATTTGGTCACTTGACACCAGAAACACAATAATGTCTCAAATCCAATGACTCTAAGAAGCTAATTTCTTTTTGTTTCTTAGTTGTTATCATTCCATATTATTAATTCCACAGTTTAGAAGTTGTTTTTTTGACATCCTTCCATATTATTAATTCCACAGTTTAGATCATGCAAAACAGGAGTCAAAACACACACTTTGACTCTCTGTTCGAACAATATATAGATAAAAAGTCACATTTAGGAATATGGTCTTTTTTGTAATAAGCTTCATCAATCATGATTAATTAGTCACAATTTATCTTAATAAAGCCACATCTGCCGTGTGATTAAAGTTTTACCCAAAGGTAGTCTAAATGATAAGGATTATTAGCTATACTTATTTAATGACAGTGTATTAATATATATATATGTAAAATATATAATAAAAACATGCTGTATGTCCTGTAGATGAGGAGAGTGAGTATTGTCCAGACAGAGCTCTGTCTGCTGCACTCCATGACTGGATGGATGAACTAAACCAACCCCTCCAAGCAGGTACAGAGAACTATTTGCATCATAACATTATTGTTCAGTTCCCACTAATGTTTTCCTTTAACTTTTAACAGTAATATCTATGTGTTTTAGGTAGACAGAGCTCACGAGCAGACCACCGTTCCTCAACGGCGTCGTCGGTGAGGTGCAAAACACCCGACAGCCCCTCCACATTCAGAGTGACCAATGTTGTGGCCAAGCTCCCCGTCTTCCCGCTAAACTCCAGCTCACCCCCGTCATCACCCACTAAGCTCAAGGGAGAGACAGGTGGGCACGATGGGGAGAAGAAAAGGTCAAAGCAATCTTCTCAATCCAACCCTCAACCACTAGGACCCCGGGAAGCTGGTGGCAAAGGACACAAAGTCCAGAGTCGAGGGGTCTGTGGTGGCAAGGGCCTGCTGAGTGAGGCTCAGGTGCGGCTGCTGGTTGGCCTTCATTATCTTCCCCATGAACATGGCCCGTCTGCACAGAAACTGCTCCAGGATCTTACCTGGCTTAAATCAAACTGCCAGTTAGTGAGTGCTAACAGTAAAAAGGCTCCTCAAAAGGTAAGCTAATGGGATATTTTAGCAGGTTGCATATTTAAAATATCCAAAAAATTAAAAATTAGTTTTTTTTTCCTACAGATGGATGAATGGCGTGGCAGGGCCACCGGGTTCATGACTCTGTGTGATGAAATTGCACAGCTCCACTGCAGCGTGGTGGGTGGGGCTAATAGGGCCGTACTCTATGACCTTTATCCTTATGTGTGGGACCTGAGGAACATGGCCCTGGTGGCAAAGGCCTTTGTATACTGGCTGGGTAAGGACACACAAGAAGTGGATCAGATGTTTCTTCTAGTCTGCTATATTGTAACATTTTAAAGAAAAGTACATAACCACATTATCCAAAACCCATACATATAGTAATTGAGTTTTTTATGGTCCTGTGGTTCTATACTGTGAATGATCTTTGTTAATTCTAGCCTCACACTCACACTCACACTTATTCTGCTGATTCAGATGGCCGAGTGTTGGGTGACAGCTCCACCCTAGGCTCCTGGAGGAACTGCTTACACTGTAAGTAGACATAAAGTGACACTCATCTGTCCTTCATTATGTCTCAGCAGCTCCAGCTCAATGAAGAACACCATCAATTGCGGTATTCATGAAGTAGGGACAATAATAATAATATGGAAAAAAATATAATATATAATAACTCTACTATGACCATTTGCCATTTGCAGTGTAAACTGCCCCGACCTTTTATTGGTAATGACCACATGCTGTTGCCCCTACCTGATATGATGTGGTTGTTTTTCTATCAGGGTGTGGGAAGACTTCTGGAGCAGATTTACCAGGGATGGAGTCAGAACCATGGGTGTTCAAAGGCGGCGTGTCTGGAGAGGTGCAGGTAAAACTGACTGTCAGTATGATAAACATAAATCTAAATAAACATAAACTAATTCAGAAACAGATGCAAAACAATCTGGTAGATCATTGGTTCTCTTTTTGGGATTGGGTAGCTATTACCAGGGGTCAAAACAAGGCAATTTGACTAAATTTCAACATTTTCATTATTTGTACAGTGAGGTAGCTGAACTGTAATTGTAACTGACCTCTAGTTTTGCAGGAATGAAATCCAACACAGGTTAAAGAGCCATAGCATGGTATTAATGCAATACCATGAGAAACATGACTCTTGCTTACAAATGCTTAGCCTTAGCTGAGGTTCTTGTTTAAGTTTTTGCTTATGCTTGGGAAATGGAATTAGGTCTTTCATTGAAATCACCAAATATCTCCTTTTACTCTTTACCTCATGGCTGGATATTCAAGACAATGACAAAACTACAGCCTTTAAAACACCTCTGAAAGTCTGTATGTGTTTTGTGTGTATATTATTAATTAAATATACCACAGCTATGTTACATATTCTTAACTGATCCATTAACAGCTGTATGTTCTGAAATCAACCTTGTTTGTGTGCTTGTGTTTGTGTGGAGTGTAGATGCTTCTCCCTACAGGCAGCAGCAGTGAGCTCTTCAGTCATCCTCCCCCTCTCTTCCCTACATCTCGACTCTACAACATCAGGCCTTACCACAGCAGGGACAAGGTCTCACTCTCTTACTTACTAACACACACACACAGACACGGACAGAGGGATATTTCTCTATAACATTGATCATGACCTGTGTGGCCTAATTTCATGTGGAAACATGATTATCTGATATTTATGTAAAGCTAAATTAATGATATAAGAGAATTAGAGAAATAGAGGGAACACACTGATATAATTAACAACAGACATCTCCCAGACTGATGTAACTTCCTACCTTTGTTTAGATGGAGTTGTATCGTATGGTCCGCCAACTTCAGTTGAGGATTAAAGGTGGCCCAGAATCCAGTTTTGCTCACCCAGATGTCGTAGGGGACCGGTGGGTGTTTGTCATTTCATCACAGGGCTAATCACTGTGACTTCATGTTAGAAATGCTGTTAGCATGATGAATTACAAATGCTGTAGAATCAAAGGAAAAAATAAATCTATTAAGAACAACATTCACTTAGACATAAGAATGAACAGATTGAGTTTGGCAGCTGGAGGTCAAACACACACGCACTGTTTATTATGAGTCAGAAGTTAAGTTGCAGACTCACGAACTGTGACTGGTAAACAGAGAATTAAGGTCATTCCTCTTTCATGGTCTCATCTTTTCATTTCTGTAGCTGCCTGGGGCCATGCCTGGCCATGTGCCCAGAGTACAGTTTCATCCTGGAGGATGAGCTCGGTGTGTGCGGATGTGTGCTGGGCATCTTAGATGTCCGTTCATTTGCCAAGCGATGCCAGGCCAGCTGGATACCTGCCATGAGAGACAAATACCCTCCTAAAGGGGGCAACACGTACCCCAACACACAGGTGATTGATGATGAGCAGAAAAGACTAAAAAGGATTAAATAAGTCTATCTAATCTTTTCCTTCAAAACCCAGGGCCATTTTAAACCTTACGTACTTCACACAAACGATATACAAAGAAAACTATAACTACTTATGTCAAAGTGTTGAGGAATCAACACCTCATTTAACCTCATTAAACATCACCATATACAAAAATGCCAAAAGCAAACAGCAGTTAACATTTCTGGTCACACTGAGACAGCTGTGTGAGATTAATCAGTCAAGCCTCCTCTGTGCGTCACTGTGCACACTGACTCTCTGACACAGTAGGACAGATGACAGTCTTTCACACTCATTAACAGGTGGAGAGAACATTTCTGTTTTGAGAAATGACAGGACTTACTTTTTTGGACAATGAAAATTTACCGGCTGTGGGTTGATACAAGAACATAATCAGAAATCAAAGGTTTTCGGCAGTAATTAGTCCATAAATGAAATCTGACTAATGTGCTGCTAAATTTAACAACTATTTATCAGCTGACTAATTGTCTTGACACTAATCATGGGCTTCATCCCTGTAAAAATGAACCAATTATCCCTTTATCAATGTGAACTGATATATTTTGTTTGTAGATGAGGAGATAACATTTTAGAAAATGTTTTAGCAATATGCAGTATCGTGAGATCTGAAGGTGCAATTTGTAGTATTGCACAAACCATCCCTGGTCCCTCGAATGTGTCCCTTTAATGCCCTCAGGTGGCAGCTGGTTGCAACTGCAGCAGCTGCCTTAGTTCTTTAACAACAGATTAACTACAAATGTCTTTTGTCTCATCTCCATACAGGACCTGATCCAGATGATGGAGGAGGACCAGGGGGAGTACCCGGACTCCCTCCTCTACCACTTCCCCTCTCAACTAAGACTGGATGCTCTGCCTGAACTGGTGGACGTCAGCGTCAGCAGAACCCTGCTCACCGCCCTCCTCACTGCTCTCAAGGCAAATGGTAAAAACACTAAGAACGTTCAGGCTTAATGTAGTCTTTTGTCGTGTTTTTATTTATTCTCCCACATACTTTGAAATATATAAATATAACAATTGTCTAATAAGAAAAAACACTAACCACGTGCACAGTGCATTCATGACACCTACTTTTTGAGTAACTTCGTCACGTTTCTTTCCATGCTGCAACTGTCAGATACATTTATACATTTTTGATACATTTTAAAGGCACAGGAGAGAAGCGTGACGTTGACGTAAAACCACGTTCACCTAAAGTCTATATATAGTGCTGGGTTCCAGACAACTGGGATATTGGTACAATAAATTGCTAATTAGCATATGTGCATTATTGAATTTGTTTTTGAAGAGGTGCTGTGTGGTCCAACAATGCAATCCATTTGCGTCACTATTCACTGTTTAAGACAATCATTGTTAACTTGTCTTTACACTGTATGAAATAACTAAAAACTGCATGGCGTTTATGCGAAATTGCTATTGAAACACGAGCTTATTTTCTTCATTTACGGTTTAGAGTTCTTGACTTCAGAGTTCCGTTCCGCACCTATAAATGCCTTCTAGCGATTTAAAAATGGCGACCGAGTGGATACTTGTCAACGACCAGAGCGGCTACATAAACGCGTTTCTGTCCACATAAGTAAAATAAAACATACACTGACAAGTACCTGGATGCCTTGAAAAGTGTCATCTCTAAATACTTCCTTGCATTTTACGTGTGTCCAGGTTCTCAGGGTGTGTTTTGTGAGGTGCAACCAACTGACCGTCAGAGGCTGGAGTTTTTGACCAAACTGGGCTTTCTGGAGATCCTCAGGGGAGAGGCCAGGAGCAGAGAGGGAGTGGTGCTGGGGAGGCTCATCTAAACAGAAAACAAAGCACTTACATGGTCACACACAATCGAACACACTTGCAGCACACATACACACGCGGTGGACTCCAAAAGCAGGGAATTGTAGTTTTTCTGCCAGAAAAAAAGTTTTTTGTTTTTTTTTTTGGACTCTTGGATTTGTTTGTCTGGCAGTAATGAAGATAAACCCATGTATTTCTTAGGGATTAACACAATTGCAAAATATGCATTGTATGTAAACATTCAGAGTTGTTTTAAACTGTCTAAGATTCCACCCAAATTGTAAAGGTTTAGCCACTTTATAACACAACCAGCAACACAATTGGCTTCACATGGGCGTTATAATCAATATTCCAGATATCAGTCACATGACTAAACCTTTTTAAAAAGGTAGTTTGGTGGTTAAAAAAATACAAAAAGAACAACATTTAACTTTGCAATTTTTATAAGTTCCTTATTTTATGTAAAATGTTAAAAATGTAAAATTACATGTTACATTTTTATGTACACATTTTGATTTTCTCTGTGCTACATGTTATTGCTCAACCATTAGAAAACATTTTAACATAAAGAAATTTAAAAATTTAAATACAGTGCCACTGTATTTCTCTAAGATGATATGAAATAACCCTTGATAATAAGATACTTTACCCTTTAATGTAAATGTCTTTAACTTCTTAACTGTTTTTAACTTAACTAAAAATAACATTTCTTTTGCTCCTCTTCTGCTGGTAAAGTTGTCCATACCGTAGTTTGGCATCACTGTTTACATTTGGTTATTTTAGATGAATGTTTACATGCATGATTGTGTGGCTAGCCACAAAGTAAAATTACTTGCACTGACGAAAACACCGACATAAACATATCATCTTAAAAAATGCCTGCAGAATGGCATTTTCAATGAAACTTCCAATAGGCTATCAATAGCCAACATAGCCATAATGTCTTAAGAAAAAATAAAACATGACTAAAGGAATAGTTAACAGTAATACAACTAAATTAAACAACTGCATGCACATAAGTCGTCAAGACACACACACACAGAAAAAAACTTTACAGTGTCATAAAGATTCTGTGCATGTAATTGTACAATAAACACAGACTTATCTGAAGTTTACACTTAGAGTTAGTTTGTTGGGTTGAATATGAATAGATACCTCTGTCTCACTGCAGCACACTCACTGTTAGGTGCAAAACAAGTGTTTGGTATTAACATGTGAGTACACTTTGTATGAGAATAGCAACAGATTACAGACGTGTGATTCTGCCTTGACTTCAAACAACAAGAAAAACACAATAACAAACACACACACACACACACACACACATACAGAGACAATATAAGAAGCACAACAACAATCACCATCGAGTCTTCAAGTGAACGTTTGTAGATCAATGAATGTTTAACAAAAAGACAACTGTAGTTTTGAATTTTTCTCTCTTTTGTTTGTAACGCTTGATTGGCCTCTGACCTGACAGCAGTTTTGTACGTCTTCATCTGTTTCCAACCTTATCACCACTGTCTGAAAAGTACGTTATAACAAGAGTCTAGACCCAGCAGGAAAAAATATTTAGATGTAAAAAGATCCAACGTGATGATATAGGGTAGAAATGCATGATGTAAGGATTTTGTTTTTTTTATAGTAAAGATGTTAGTGCGTGTTACCGAAAGTAGTATAGATGTTGTCACATTTGATAGTCTCTGTCAAAAATGTGCTGAAGGCCCTGTGGAAAAAGAAAAACAATAGCCTGTGGCTAAAATAATATGCATCAACCAAAAAAAAAAAACCCAAAAAAAAACAGCAACAACAAAAACAACTATAATAATAATAATAATAGTAAACCATTGTCATCAGAAGCACATTACTTTGTCTACATACTGTATACTCACTGTCTGTCTGCACTGAAATCCCTCTTTGTGTTTTCAGTGATTTCAGTACGTCTATGCAGAACAATGAAAGATTGAAACCAATAACTGTAAGATCCATTATGTTTTTATTGTTCTCAGTAAAAAGAATGGGTAATTTTGTTGAATTGTCTGGTTAATTTTATGCACATTAAAATATGCTTTCTTTCCCTTTATTCTGTGTTTGTGTTTGTCATAAAGACAAAGGAGTGATGTATAAGCTCACTGCAAATATTAGTGGTTTTAAATATCTCTTTTAAGGGAGTCATTTGAACTATTCATTAACTGATACGTGAATAATCAAATGTAAACACCACACCGCCACCTTCTGGTAAAGCAATAGAACAATGGCATCTTCAAATAGTTGCTGTTAGAAAAATATTATGATGACATTTTTACAATGTACTGTAAGAATAGGTACATGTACTTGTTTGACTCTATAATACTTGTTTCCCAAAAGATGTGTATTCTGCAGTAAAGTTGAAAAGTTACTGACACCACACGGTCTTCAAGCAAATACCAACAGAAGGAAGGCACTGGCAATCAAAGGCACTGCTTCATGCTTTTTGTTGAGTCACTGAACCTATCATAACCAAGCATGAAAACATGGCTCCAGTAAGACATGGATCTACATGGTGTAAGTACTGCACTAGGTCACTGTAAAACTAATCTGACGATGTGACTGCTGTCAGGAGGAGAGCAGACTGCGTGAGAAATGAAAGACACATCGTGCATGAAACACTGATTTGTCACAACGTCATCTTAAAGGTTAGGCAAAGTGATCTGAGCTGAAGGTGAAAACTGTGCAGTACATTCTTCTTCGCTGGTCCTTGTAATTTTCCACTTGCTACGACACAGCAGGTTAAGTTCCGGAGAACTGACTTGACTGGGAGGGATGCGATGTTGTGCTAAAGTGCCTGTTAGCAGTGACATCAGTGTAACAGTGAAAGTGGCTGCTACGCTGCTGGATGGAAGACCCACCTATGGAAGGAGATGGTTAGGAAGAAAGTTAAATAAAAGGTAGGCTGCATGTACAGGAGGGCAGTAATACATAAATTTAGGCTCCACACTCCATCCATTTTGCATTTGAATGAAAATCATTAATAATGTTTGAAAAGTGTAGACACAAATGTTAAAACATGTCAACTTTTGGACTTGTGATCTTGTTCTCATGTGATGCTCAAACAGTCTAGGCAAAAGGCTATGGGGACAAAGGAGGCGTTTACAGATAGTGAAAGTAAAATGTGAATGTGAATCAGGGGTGTCCACACTTTTTTGGCATGGGAGCTACTATTCAAATAACCAAGCTGAAGTGATCTACCTACACTGAAAACATTAAATATATATTCACTTAGATAAAGTGAGCATACTTGACATAAATATTATATGTTGGGCTACTGATTAAATTCCTACAATAAATGGTCACCACTACACAGAATTATATATATATAAAAGTTGCTCAATATCTACCAGCAGTCCCTCCGTCTATTTGGGCACCCCTGCATTTAATCATGTTACAACACAGTTGTCCAGTTACTTTGTACTTTACTTCCAATTACTTTGTTTTTTGTTTATCTTGTTCAGTGAATTAAAGAGAACATTAGTTTTGTTGCATCTTTACATATGGAGTCTCAGTTTTAAACAAAGGCAGTAGTAACTTATACAAGAAATTACAAAGAACAATTTGCATTGATACCTACAGTAACAACAACTTCTCGGTGTGTGATCTAATCTAATCTAATACTGTACAGTCTAGTCCAGGTTTGGGCAATCTTTTTGACTCATGGGCTTCAATGGGTCCTAAAATTTGACAGGGGGCCAGGTCAGGTGGACGGTGCATTTGTGTGAATTAAGATAAATGACATGTAAAAGTCTTGCGTAAAAGCTAAAATGCTTTTTAACCTTTTTTATGCCATCTATTGGGGAAATGTGCGCATTGCAGGCGAAAGGCAGACTATAACGATAGTATAAATTAATGACATCATTTGGACAAGTTTGGCAGGCCGGATTAAAAAGCCAAATGGGCTGCATTCGCCCCCGGGCCGTAGTTTGTCCATGCCTGTAATTAATCAAATCTACTGTAATTGAGATTAACTTAATATAGTTATGTAGTTACTCTTAACAATAAAAACAAAATTCTTCCTTATGCTATGATAAATAAAAAGTTCCTCTAATTTTGCTCTTTAAATGTCATATTCAAGATTTTTTTTAGAAAACAATGTGTATTAATTCTAATTCCTTAGGTAAACTGTAGGGTAAACTGTTCATATTGGGTTATTGTAGCTGGTTAAAGGTTAAAACAAGTTCCCTATGTGGATTACACATGCACCTCCTGAGTGTGTAGCCAGATAAAATTCCAATGGTGAATTCTGGATACTTGGGTGAATACATATATCAAACAGAATTCAAGCCTTGTACTCATACAACCAAAAGTATTATTACTTACAGTTCCCAGAAGGTTTCCCAAAGCAATGTCAAAATATGAAGCAAAGAAGGCTGCAGACAAAAAAAGACAAACAAACAAATCACTCAAAAATACTCCAGAATAAAAATATGAAATTATGAATACCCCAAATGATTGTCTCTGCTTTTGTTGTGCATACAGCAACTGATGTTCCACACATTCTAGAGTCCCACAATAAAAGGCCCCAGTTTTGTCCAAAGTTAGCTGTTCAGCTGTCTGCCAGGACTGTCAACACTAACGTTCCTAAGTTTGTTTTTGTGTGGGAAAGAAACCAGTCTGGACAAATTATTTATAGAAAATCAGTGATTATGTCTGTGCAGCAGACAGCTAGAGCACACAGAGGCTTTCATTAAGAGCAAGGACAGAGAGGAAAAGGAGTAAGAAGCAGAGCCAAGTCTAACCTGACTGTAAGAGAGTCAGCTTATGTGCCTCTTTGTTAAACATCAGCATATGATATTCATCGGGTGCTGCTAAATTCTGAAAAGGTGAAATCTAATTTTGTAATTTATAAAGAGCTGGTTTAAATTCTCTCTCTCTCTCTCAGTGTGTGTTGTGGACTGGTTTAAATTCTCTCTCTCTCTCTCTCAGTGTGTGTTGTTGTTTGTTGGATGTGGTCACCGCTGGCTACAGCAAAGAGATGCGTCCTCCAGTTGAGGGTGAAGAACAGTCCTCCAACAACCATGCAGCCCAGAGCTCCGTTCAACCCTGACAGTCCTGAATAAAGATGATCATGACGCACGGCCACGGATAAACCTGCCAAGTACCAATCACATAAAAACAGAGGTGGGGGGCACAGAGTGAGAACATTATAAAGTTCTGTATCATACGCAATAATAAAATCCTCCACATGATGGCAGTAGACACTGCTGTTGCACTGTCATCCAATCAGTAAATGTCCTGCTTCCTCCCTAATTTCACATTTGATCGCAAAAGTTCAGTTCAAGTGCGTTTAAAAATAACGTCATCAGCGCGTTTCCTGGGGTTCTGTCTTTACAAAGCACACTGTCCGGCACAGATGAATGAATACTGGGTATAGGCGTCAACAAACCTCCCCCAAATGTTGCACTGTACTGTCTGCACACGGAGCATAATGACCCAGATAAATCTCAGCGAGGTCAGACGCAGTCATATTTCTCTAGGTGGCCTTCAGCTGCAGCTGTACTCTGTCTTTGAACCCACACAGGAAGAGAACATAAAATGTCCTTAATATATCAGGGAGATTTACAGGCTGCTTCAGCTTGTACAGCTTGTACAAGCATATATACATACGTATATATATATATATATATGTGTGTGTGTGTGTGTGTGTATATACACATATATACGTATATACGTATATATATATAGATATATATACACATATATATTTCCTCAAGTAAAAGAAACAAATGAACTGCAAATGTAACAAAGGGTTCTTGTGAAGTAGTCTTTTTGGCTTGACAAAAATAATAGTGAATATTTTAGCATCTCCTTGTGAGCCTTTGACAAAAGCCGATGTCTATAAACAACATGAGCCTCTTACAAAGGCTTAGGGTTCATTTTATTTCCTTCAAAGTTTTTTTCAGGACAATCAGAACCCATACCCAAAATCCTTCACGTTGCTTCCCTCCAGCTAAAAACCTACAACCATGTTCAACCACATACTCCAAACACGGGATCCCCAGGCCGATCCACAGGCCGGTACCGGTCTATAGATAATTTAGTATCAGGCCAGTGTGGGAAATTGCATTTTATATTCACTAATTTACTTAATTCAAAGAGAATCCACTCATATCTATTTACATTCTTCATTTGAAGATAATCTGGCAGTATTTAAAAATAATGTCACCGAGACTGCAATGCTAACAGAGGTCTATAAAATGTTTTATTTTAAAAATGTAATAACAATCAGCATAGGGCTACCGGTCCACAGTAAGGCTCCCTATAGGCCGACCAGCACCTGGACCTCTGCTCTAACCCTACTATGTTTGTTGATATACAATATACTACTCTTCTAGTTTTCACAACATAAACCTTTAAGCAGATAATGTGGGTTTTTTGTGTGTGTTGTGGAGTAAGAGAAAAAAAAATAAAATAAAAATGACTCAATGATGCCTGAAGGAAGGAAGAAATGATAATCTCCCTTTTCTCAAACACCATCAGATTAACACAGGCAGTAACAGAGAAACAGCTTAATGTGCTAAAAAGAAGACAGCTCCACAGTGAGTTTAACTTTTGGTGATAGATACTGTGAAGTTGATTTTCTAAGTATTGGAGAGAAGCAGCTGTTTTGTGGTTGGTACTGGGAGTACTGCAGGACTTCACAGGCTCTTCTTTATTTACCTGATCCTCTGGTTGTGCTGGGATTGATTTTTCAATGCCAGGGCTCAGTGAGCTGCAGTTAAGCAGCCTGGGTCTGTGGTAGATCGACCACACCCTGATGAGTCTGCTGACCTACCCTGCCAACCACTCCATTTTCCAGCTCTTTCTTTTATTTTCCCTGCAGTGTGCCTGTAAATGTCTGAACTCCCACAGCACTCATCTCCCGACCCCTCAAAGTATTTATGTAATTGCATTCTTCGCTCCCTCCTTTCCTCCAATACGCCATTGCAGTCTCAATGGTGTTATATGAGTAATATGCTCCATAATTTACTTGTTTTCCACGTTGTATTGAGATATGAGTATAAGTAGCTATTAAGTTGCCACTACACTACTAGGGACTTATAAAGGTGAAAAAATAAATCCTGAAGAACAGATTACATGTTTGTTTAAGGATCATGAAAGAGATGCTCACATATTCATTGTTACCCTTCAAAACACCACATAGATCAGGGGTGTCAAACTCATTTTGGCTCACAGGCCACTCAATAATTAGATGTCAAGCGGGTGAGACTGGTACAATCAGTCCATAATTAACTATAAATAACAATAATTCCATGTTTTTAACCTTTGTTTTCATGCAAACAATGAACATGAAGTGTTTGTGTAATTTTGTATTTTCAAAATTCATCAAGCGGGCTGTTTTGAACACCCTAGCGGACTGGTTTTGGCCCCCGGGCCATATGTTTAACACCATTGACATAGATGGATACAGAAGTAAGTGCATGAGGCAGACCAAAGCAATGTTTTTAAAGATACAGGGGCTCATGGTGCAGCTGGCCTGGGAGTAGAATAAATTAACAACGTCATGTGAAGCTGCTGCGTAGACTAAAAGGACAAATGCAACATTTTTAACACTTTCTAAGAAACCCTGATTGCAAACAAATGACATTAATGTATTTTTTTAGAAGTTATTATTTAGAGAAGATGTTTGAATGGCAGGCTGCATTAAATCAATGACTTTTTTTCCCCACTCATTTTACATCTTTGGATGCCTGACTCATATAACTAGTTATATTTGTTTGATATTAATCAAATATTCATTCAATTGTCAACATCTGAGGCATTTGTTTGTTTCTTACTCTGTAGTTACAACAGTCTTTATCCTGCTCTTTCTAACAGTATTTTCTTCCGTTGTCTGTGTCCGTTGTCGTTCGCTGTGACTAACTGTGATTAAAAACAATAGTTTCCTGGTCAACAAATTCATTTTTACTACATATTTTGCAATGATTTATGTAATATTTATTTGTATGTGTGTTCTGACTTATGGCGAGAATTCAAGTTTCATCGCTGCTAGGATGTTACCCTGATGTTAGTCGAGACCCCCTGTATATTGAAAAGAATATAGCTGGGAAATTGAGACCCCAGTTCTAATTGATGTGTCTTCCAGAAGGCCTAATACAGGGAATTGTGCAACTTTTTAAATATAGTGGATCCTCGAGATACGAGCAAGCCGTCGAGCAAATTTTTGCTTCGAAACACTGGTAAAGATTTGAGATAGTAAGAACTAATTATTAAAAGCACATTTTATTTGATATCACAGGAATCCTTATATATTATAATTTCTTTGTGTGTCCAAGTCTCTATAGCAATTAAAAACATGTTTTTTCAATTGTTATTAGCACTAATAAGGGAGTTTTTTAGAGGGCCGGAACAGTTTTTTTTTTTTTTTTTAATGGAAATTTGTTTTCCGTTATTTTTCATGTAAAAAAATGATTCGAGTTACGAGGTCGGTCCTGGAATGGATTATGTTGGTTTCTCGAGGTTCCACTGCAATTGTAACTAAAGTCAAGCTAAGATAACATTCAATAAAGTCTCCCAAGTCACTGCTCACTAGTCAGTTTTCCAATTTACTACAGTTTACACAAAACACCCTGCAGGGGACACATAGGCCCCAAAGATTAAACCAGAGATCAAACGTTACTATTGACTCACCAGCCAGTAAACCGATGGCTGATCCCAGCATGGCGTGAGCAGCCAGCAACGGGGAGTAGAGAACCACTGCTCCGAAGATGAGGAAAGAAGGCCCCAACGTTGCACAGGCAAAGATCTGACCCACACCAAGAGGGACGGCACGTATCATCTGGAGTGTCAAAAGAAAGGATTTAATAATATGCAAAAATATTAAATAGAGTCTTCATTGTAAAAAACAAAACAAAACTAGAATAGGTCAAAAAGTTCAGAGAAAACCTTTTTTAAATTTTATCCATGGCTGGAACAAAATTTCCAAGACAAGACATGTCCACAAGCAATGTTTCCTTCAGTGAATTCTTGCTTTGCCCCATATATGGATTGATATCAAGTTACATTGATAATAATAATACATTTTTTAATAATTAATAGGCTGCCATTAAGTTTGGTATATTATGTTTTTATTTTTATTACATTCTATGTACAGTGTTTTGGGGCTGAGGTGTTAAAAACATGAGACGTTTTGAAGTGTGATGAGAAAATGACTTTTGCGACTAATCCATGTGTATAACTAATATTTGCGGTTCCTTCAGGGATCATCCAATGCTGTAACTTGTCGATCAGAACTCGATACGACCAGAGTTGTCTGCGTAACACTCAGAAAACTCTTATTCATCTTCTTGTCTTGCTGGTCCTGCTCCTTCTTCACCATGACCTAGTCCAAGTTCAACCAGACATAGCACTTGCAACTATACGTAAATAAAGCATTTTTATTTTACAATGGACACCCAGCATCAGTGAATAAGCTGAAATACCACAAGTCAAAGTGGGCATTCTTAAACCAGGCCCTGTGTAAAATGAATATCCTAATATTCTTGTTACACAGAAATATGAAATCACTTAAAGTAATTAAGTGATTTATAAAAGGAAGTTTGTTTTATATAGATAAAATAAAGAAACATTTCAATAGAGAATAAACTCCTAGAAAGACTATAAAAAGATAGAAGATAGAAAGATATATATATAAAGATCTTAAGGTCCAAACGGCGCAGAGTGGCTGCAGGAATTAAGTATATAGAATTCATCGTTCAAATATATCAGTAATAAGCGAGAGCCTGGCTTTACGACCAGCTCACACCATTATCTTGGAAAGAAGCTAAATTACACTTCAGTCAAAGCCCTGCTTATGTAATACTATATGTTCTGACTGTGAAGAGGATTTCCAAACAAACGAGTTGTGTGTTTGCCCTGCGCTTCAATCCAAACATTAGATGTCACTAATCTATACAGGTGCACACACACAGACGCGCAGCCATCAAATAAATGCCAGTCCAGTAAATACTGACCCACTGGACGCACCTGGCAGGGCCAATTCACAAAAGATAAACCTGTGACAAAAATGTGACTAATTTTGTGCATGTGTGCACGTATGACAGTGTTTAAGGCTTTCTTTAAATACACTGCCGTGTGGCAAAGACACTGCAGCACAATCCTCAGCAGAGCCACAGCTGAAGACATGAAATATAAATAGGACCGACGTCATCGTCGTCTCCAGAGTGAACCATGAGAGGAGGAGAAGAAAAAAAAGCAAAGATGAAGACGGGTGAAAGAAAGAAAGACCAGGGGAGAAGCAACTGAAAGGAACAGCTGGATAAAGGAGAGAGAAAGGGGAGTCAAGAAAGTGACCAATTTACATTGAAGAGCCAGGATGCTTTACAAGTATTGTAAAATAAAAAAAAACATGTTTACAATAATGTGAAAGTATGAAGAAGTTAGATTTAAACTGAATCTTTAAAGGCTTCATCTGACTTTGCTTTTGACTAGGGCAGTCAAACTAAACATCTCAATCATATAAATACAGTTGTGAAATCAAAAAATTTTAACACATTTAAATGCGTTGTAATAAACACTGCATACCCAATCACCTGTTGTTGCTTTTCTACATAACCAAGAGCCAAGTTTTCATGTAAACACATTTAAACACAAATACCTTAAAATAACATCTCATGGCCTAGTATGTGTTTGCAGAGTATTAGACCTCAAGTCAGACACCCAGACTGCAGGCCGATAAATATTGTTGAGGACCGAGGTCAAGTTCTGAGAGCAACTCTGCGAGCCACCATCAAGATGCACAGCAATAACTAAAATCCAGCAACTCTACTACTTTTGGATATATAGTGGTACCTCGGTTATATATATATATATATATATATATATATATATGTATGTATATATATATATATATACTGTATATACAGTGCATCCGGAAAGTATTTACAGCGCTTCACTTTTCCCACAGTTTGTAATGTTACATCCTTATTCCAAAATTGATTAAATTCTTTTTTTCTTACAATTCTACATACAACACCCCATAATGACAATGTTGAAAAAAGTTTTTTTTGAAAATGTTGCAAATACCTGAGAAATCACATGTACATAAGAGCTTAGGTTCATTCTGTTTTATTTCATTTCTGTTTCTGTTCCAGCAATATAGCTAACCATGATAAATTACGATCATGCTTAGTCATGAGTAATGGTGATCCACATCTACTCTGTGATTACCCAGATTAAAATTTGTTTAACAAATTATTGCTTGACGGCCCTACTTTAAAGATATTTTTGCCTCAAAACTGTAATATTTATAAAATCATAAAAAACGTATACATAGTGTTTTAAGAATAAAGCCCTAAGCACAGTAAATGTGGTCAATGACAAAGCAAAATGACAAAGCAAAAATGTTTCTCTCTTCATTTCCAGCAGGCACATTACCAATTACTTGGAGTAGTGCATTTGGTAACTGAACTTGACAGAAGGGACAGGAACTGTGGCGTTCAATAACAACAATGCTACAACCAGTGACGTCCTTCACATCTGACCTGTTGTTTTGGAAATATTGTTTCATGAAACTTGAAATGATCTCAGAAGAAGGATTTTTACAGATTAGATTATTTTAACAATTGAAAAAGAGTTGTTTCTAATCCATATAACATATATATTATTTTCTTGCCAAAGGAACCGCTATTGCTCTAAAAGCACCTCCTTGGTCTTACCAAGATAACTGCCTATAAATATGAGAGCTTCATTTTCACCACCAATGCTGATCTCTAGTACCGTGGCTAATTAAAACAGTATGTGCTAATGCCGTTTTTATAATCGGAGCTCCAGCAGTGTCTGTTGCTAAGTTACTGGTGAGTCATAACTGGTGGATTTTATGCATTTTGTGCCTATTTCAGTGACTTGGCTCACTCTTGAGACAGGGCTTGAACATGACAGCTGCATGCAGCACATGTATGACCTAAGCCCTGCTTGATTTTGAGTCATTTTTTAAAACAAATTGTGACATTTGACAGTTGGCTTTAAGAGAGATAATGAATTCCAACACCCTGCTCTAATCATGTGACCTACTGGGAGGCTACTGCAAATGTTTTACTGTTACAGAAATGTTGTTGCCAGGGCTGTTAAAAAGGGGAAGAGGGAAAAGAGTAAATTGACTCTCGATTTTGTTGCTGTATACCCTGTCATTCTAAACCTATCAACACAGATCAGTGTAGATATTAGCTGCTATTTATGTGCTAATTTCTGACCCTGGTTCCAAAATTTTTTTCCTGTTTTTATTCCAAAACATAGCAGTGGCGTTGGTGCCCACACATGCCGATGATAAGCTTCCCTGCCTACTTCAGGAAGGTAACGTCAGGGTAAACTCGTCACTGACTAGACGCTGCAGCGCAATACCACCTGAAAAGTTATATTTTTCCAACTCCTTTCACGTCGCCTCAGACGCTCTTTCACTTCATCTGCTTCATAGTGTGGCATTCAAAGCTCCAATTGCACCGCAGCTGACTACATCGCTTGCCATTTACATTGATTGTGTATGTGGAGCCGCCGCTCAGTCCGTAGCCTATCACTTCTGGTTTGAACACCCCATTCCGTTTATCACGACCTATCTGAAGGTTTATCAGTTTAGATCATTACCGTATGCTGGTTGTGTATCTGCTAATTATTTAAATATGGGGGCTAAACTTTAACAGATTATGAAATAACCAGTCTCAGCCTTAAGTCTTCTTACCTCAAGTGCAATGACATTTGTGTCATTAACATCCAGGCCCCCTGGAGGCAGGACTTGGTAATGTGGGAAATATGGATTGTCCGGGCCGGTACAAAGGAGGTAGAGGAGCAACACGATGTTAAAGGGATATACAGATGACGACAAGTCCCAATGGGCCAACAGCGAGGACAGACCACTTTGGAGGAAGACACTGAGGAAAGGAAACATGACTTAAATAAGAAGAAGAAGACTGGTGGTCCCATTGTGTAGTGTATAACATGCCTGCCCTGCAAACAGAGAGCAGAGAGTCCTGGGTTTGATTTGTCTGTGTCTGTTGCAAAGACTCACACTGTAAATTCTGAGACAACTTACTATTAAGCATAGTTAAAGTGTATTTGAGATGGAAGATGGTATAAAGTTTCTTTTGGTTTAGAGTGTGCTGGAGGTTGTGTGCATGTGTCTGGGCGTCAAGGTACTTGTGTGGGTTATTTCTTTGTACGAGCTCAAAGAATGTCTGTGTCAGTTGTCAGTCATCCAGGTCATCTTATCTGGAGCAGTTACATCAAGGGCAACTGGATTGGATAGGTTTCTTGAGGGCATTTCACCTCTTATCCAAGAGTAGGGATGCCCTCAACTCACAATATTATTTAATCACAATTTTGTTTAAACAAAATGACCTCCAGACAAATTATAAGCAAATATAAAAAAACCCAAACCTTTATTTGTAAAAACTATGCAAAAAAACTCGTAAATAACGGAATATATAAAAAACTAATTTCTTTACAGAAACAATGCACATCAGCATGTAGCTCCTCTTATTAAAAGTCTGGTCTGGTCTTATTTACCTCACTGTCCATATATTCAACAACAAAAGAATAAAAAATATTATCTAGAAAGAGTTCCTTTCGCTACAGAAACACTGTCTGTGGAAGGAGTTCTTCCCACGTTCTGTTTGAACACCCGAATGTTACTTAGGCTACGTCGGGACCTGACGCCTTGGTTTAATAGGAGGTCACAACCAGAATTTTAGGCACTTACTGCCACCTACGGTACTAGAGTGTGTAGTCTCATGGTATGACCATGTACAGGAGAGCAACCTCTTTAGGTCTCATCTGATCACCTACATTACAAGGACAAAGGGCACACTTTTTAGGATGGAAATGTTCATATCCTTGTGAGAAAAGACAGATAGTTTGAAGGACGACTGAAGGACGCCATCCATGTCAACCTGGAGAACCATTGCACTATTTTTAGGGCACACATCATTGGGCTAAACCCAGTCACGAAAACGATTCTTAGAGATATTACAAAATATGCTAATATCAGGTTGATAAAATCGGTCGCATAAAATCGGTTGAAAGAGAAAAGACACTTCCTTTAAAATGGCCATCACGTCATAAATACTTGCTGTGCAAAAACATCATAGATCAGTGTTTCTTCAACATTTCCTCCAGTGCCCCCATTTGTATGTAGTTGTTGTTAAGCCTGTCGTGTCACGAAATAAACAACTATTGCTTCAAATCTAAAATTAACTTTATCCCTAACACTGTAATTCCTACAGAACTATTGTTCTCTGTGTTGCACAGAGAAACTAGTGGGGTGACCTTACTATTAAAGCGTCCGCTTAAACATTTTAATTCTTGTTTTGCACATACAAAGAGAAGTGTGTGTGTAGGTGTCTAACCAGGACACTGAGCTGAAGCAGACCGGGAGCAGCAGCAACCAGTACCAGTCTCCAGCTGAGTTGAAGACTCCTATCAGCAAGGAGACCAACGTCCCATTATAAGCATGGAGTCCTCCTAACACCTCAGCACTACACACAGAGTAAGAAAAAGAGAGTTAATCATTAAAAGGAATCATTACAAATTATTATAGTTTGTCTAGAGGACTATTGTCAAACCCCTCCATGTCAACACATTTACAAAGATTGCTTCCAAACCACATTTATATCAATTTAAATCTCAGTTTGCTACAAAACTGCTATTAAAGAAACAGGCATCACACATAAAGAGAAATTATTGAAACATAAAAAAGTAGATGTGGTTTGAGTAAAACGTTTTACAGATTGGTAATTGAATTCCACATTGCACCATTTGAGAAAACAAAAATGTCAAGTGCTTACATTTAAATGATTATAATTATAATTTGATTTTTGGGTTGATATTAAATAAAAAACTATAAGGTTTGTCTACGAGGTCAGCTTCCAAACAACAAACATTTGATGTGGTAAAAGCAATTAAAAAAGAACAAGTTTGTTTTAGTTTGAGTGTTTGTCTTCCCACCTGTCTTGTCCTATGACCACAGCTGTAAGTGTTGAGACCAGTGTACCCAGAGTTCCCAGCAGACCTTGCCAGGGGGAGTCCCAGTATAGAGCAGCCAGAATGAGGGCACCACTCAGTGGGTTGTTGGCTAAACTCACCCTGGACACCCCCCGAAAGCAGCACACAGCCAGCTGCAACAAATAGGGTTTGTCTGGAGGCAAAACACCACACAGCTATAAAAAAGAAAACTATTTAATCCTTAACTTTTAATACTACACAGTTTCTTTGCTTTGCATGCCCTCTGACTTTTTTAAATGAAGCTGTCATCGATGAAAAACGTTGGTACCTTGCATGTACTTATCCATGTACTCCATGTCTCCGGTAAATAGCAGCACTGTTTTATAAACGCGGCTGCTGAGGCTGGGTGGATTGTTACACACCTCCTCTGTGTCTGGTTTGTATTCCATCCACATTGTCACAGTTTGCAGCTGAACACTTACTGTGGGAAAAGTCTGGCTTCAGTTCTTCTGTCTTTGCTTTGTCTGTCCCTGCTTTCCTGTTGTGACCTTGTTTCTTTCTCTCTTTTCTTCTCATTCATCATGATCCTCTCTTCCTTCCTTCTACGTCCACTCTCCTCCTCTGATGAGGTGATACATAATGTTTGTCATGCTTTTGACACGCCTTTTAGAGGTGAACTCAGCCCCCTCCACCTCACCAACAAACCAGTTCTTTGCTCCCTCTTCAATAAACATGCTTTCACAAACACCTGGTTTCCACTTGTTTTATGTTAATGAAAATGCTTTCAGACAGGAAAAAGTAAGATATGTGATATGTATATGTGCATGTCTGTTTAACAGACATGCACATATACAGGGAGTGCAGAATTATTAGGCAAAT